TTGGAAACATTCAAGAACACAATATTTTTTTATACAACTTTTACAAAGTACAATTGTGTGCCCAAATTTTCCCAGCATTTGGTTCCCAGCCCCCCCCCCCCCCAGCTCGTACGCCTATGCACATAACCATATTGACATCTACTTCACATTGCATGGTTGGTCGACGCAACGCCGTGTATAGATAAAGTTGCGACAACTGTGAAGCCAGGAATTTCATATGACGTCATGCAAACTTATTATCTATTTATATGACCTATTATATTGTTGGATGTCATAGATTTCAGCGAATAAGTGTATATAGGACATAAAACGTACATTTTTTAAACGAAAAGTATAGCTGAACATACTATTATTAGTATTATATAACAAGAAGCGCACATTATTGTTATATAGCCTTATTCTATAAGAAAAATCAAAATAAAAGATACACTAGATAAAAGTACTATTAAACCAGGGGCGGATCTAGGAATTTTGAAAAGGGGGGGGGGGGGGCGCTGCAAAATGAAGGCATTGACCGCGGAGACGGGGCTTGCCGCTGAGGGGGGGGGGGGGGTCCCCAAGAAAATTATCCGTCATTTCCTTGCATCTGTAGCCATTCCAAGAGCCATTTCCCAGACTGGTGTGTTTGAGTCGATGGTTCGAGTCATTTGGGATCCCTACAACGGGTTGGGAACGGACATATTTGAGTCTGAGAAAAGGCACTTTCAGCCGTAAAAAAGGGCACTGTTGAAAATTAGGGGGGGGGCGCCCCTCGCGCCCCCCATTGAATCCGCCTCTGATTAAACATATTTAACTTGCATTCGCTTTTAAAGGAGCTAAATCGCTAATATTTGGGAACTAGAAATTGTCACAAATGGGTCGCACTAACCTTGATGTTGACAAATACGTAAAACGATATGAACATCAAGGTGATATATGCATATATGCAGCATAGATAATTAAAACTTCTATTCAAGTTAAACAAACTGTATCTATTTATGTCTTACGTCGAGCTGAATACATTTTATGATTTATTGTCATTAAAACATCTATTGATGGTTAACAGTGTGTAACTAAAAGCTAAAATTGGATCTTATTATTGCCAATGATATAATGTACCTTGAATTTTTTATCACGAAGTCTATCGCATCCAGATATTTAAAGCGCGTTTATAATATATTCATTTTTTTGTATCGTAAAATTCATCTTCATTTGACGAACTACACCCAAACTACAGTCAGTGTAAACACGGTTTGGAGACTGTATCTGAACTACAGGGTACATCGAACTACAGTGTACATCATGCTTAAGAGACACTATCTAATGTCCAACAGGAAAAATGACGATTAATTTAATATCCGCCAATTGGTGTTGCTGCTATTTTGTATTTTCAAAATTTATCTTCAAATTCAGAGACATCGAAAACCATATAAAAGACATTGCAAAAGTCATATCTTATGTATCTTAAGAGATGCCCTTTTAGTCTACCAAATTTATGTTTTTTTTGTTAAATTGCCTTATACATGTATTACCAAATTCGGTAGCCCTTTTAAAAGAAATGCCCGGCACCACATGGAAAATACATTTCTTTAATTGATGTTTGTCAAATTCGATTTCCGCACATTTCGCGTACATTACCACGATATAATGGTCGAACATTACGTACATCAGATAAACTATTTTTAAAGCCCAAAACTGTTCAACTAGTCTCTTTTAGTTATCAAGCACCTGTTTTATGGGATAATCTACCATTTAGTTTAAGATGTTGTACATCTCTATATTCTTTTAAAAAACAACTTAAATCACATTTATTTAATGAGGCTTTTAACTCATTAATTGTTAACATGTCCATAATCTTGTTGTTTATTTATGATTACATTGTCACTTTGTAAAGTGCCCCTGAACATGTTTTATGAAAGGGTGCGCTATAAATATGCTGTAATAATGATAATAATAATAATATTACCAAATTTGGCGGCCATTATGAAAGAAACGCCCGGCACCATATAACAAATACTTCTTTTTTTTAATTTGACGTTTGTCAAATTCGATTTTTCGGCACATTTCGCTTTCATAACCACTCTGTGTTTGAGGAATTTAAAAAGAAATCAATTATAATCCAACGAGTAAATAGTAAAACACACTGATTACGAGATATCGATCTCAGAAAATTCCCCGATTTTGGGTATGATTTTGTTTGATATATTTATTATGCTCCCCCGCCCCCGCCGCCGACCCCTGCTCAATGAGTTATTTTACTTTTATTCTGCCATCTAAATAACTCTATACCCATGACTGGTGTACCAAGTTAAATCCACATCAAAACCCCATTTGTCGATAAGTGTATTTATAATAATCACTTGAACATCCTTGGAGAATTATATCTATTTAGTGAATATTAATACCAAAGAAAGAAAACAACTCTAAATTCTGAATATAAAGTCATCAAATTCTTTTACAGATCTTATTGTGGAAACCCAAAAGTTATATGTCACCATTGCCTTTTTAATCACATTTTTGTTTTTAATGTCAAATACCAAACCATCTCTAAAATTGTTTCATTATATAGAATGCAGTGTAATCCTAAACACTAAAGATTTGGCCTGAAAACTTGAAATAATATAGAGGGATCATCAATAATTAATAGTAACATTCGATAATTATAAAAATGTATTATTGTAGGATGAAATCAACCTTTATTTTTAAACACTTAGTGAACATTTCGAATGTTAATGCCTCTTTTATATAAAATGGTTTTATTAATTAATCAATTTTTGTTTTACAAATTTTTAATTTTCTCCATTTTGTTTGATTTTTATGCTATATTTATTTTATCTATCTATAATTATTTGCCTGTGCTTTATCTATTAGTTCCCATTCATATACTGTAGAAAATTTTGAATTCCTAATCTGTTAAAGGGACTATTTTTTCTTAAAAGTATTTCAATTTAGTGCATTATTAATGTCTTTAGTGCTTGGTTTGGTTGATATTAAATTTAGATATATTTAAAATGTATGTTTTGGGACCATGGGGTAGGGATATTGTGAACATATATATTATATTCTCAGTTCTTTTTAAGGTTAATTGTAAAAAAAAATTAAATAGCTTTTTTTGATGGGTGGGGGGATATTGTTATTATTGAACACAATTTTATTAGTATTGAAATTAACTTTGTTGATTAATATTCCAAATGTCTCGGTGCTTTTTTTTTCTATTTAAATAGCTACTTTTTATTTAATAATTGGGAATGGGGGGTGGGGGTATTTTTTCATTGTATAACACAATTTTATTAGTATTGGAATTAACTTTGTTTATTAACCTTCGAGATGTCTGTATTGGTATTAATTAGGCATTAATTTATTTTTTCATATCATTTATTGAATAAATAATAATTTAACAAACAAAATTATTATGTCATTTATCAATAATTACAGTTTAAACAGAACGAATGGAAGGGGTTGCATTCGAAAGGTTGCTATACTGGATATAAATTGGTAAAATACAACACAAGTTTTTGTTATACACAAGTTTGTACGAAACAACACGAGTTTCAGAAATTTCAACACAAGTTTCAGAAATTTCAACACAAGTTTCAGAAATTTCAACACAAACAAGTTTCAGAAATTTCAACACAAACAAGTTTCAGAAATTTCAACACAAATAATGTGTAGATTTTCACACAAGTTTTGTGTTGTTTCAACATTTAACACAAGTTTTGTGTTGTTTCAACATTTAACACAAGTTTTGTGTTGTTTCAACATTTAACACAAGATTGTGTTGTTAAATAGAGACACCTAACTTGTGTTGAAAATAACACAAGTTTGTGTTGTTTCAACACAAGTTTTTGTTCAGTGTGCTAAAACAGAAAATTTGACCTTTTGAACTCCGGAGTCACAAAAAACAAGGGTGAATTTAGCAAGTTTTACATTTTCATTGAAAGGGTGATTACTTTCGATCATTTTCAGCTTATTCACTTTCAGTACAAAGGGACCCATTTGACCTTTGGCCTCGAATATCTCGAAAACGCCAAAACGGCGGACTGATTACCACACGGCATCATATATTCTACGCGAAATTTTACTGTAGAAAAGTTGGGTCTGGTTTTGTGCCCATTTGATGGATACCCGAGCGCACTGAGCCTCCAGACCAAATTGCAAAAATTATAATTTATTAATTTTTAGTGTTTTATATTATAGCTATGATAATTGGTGCTGTTGAAAAGTATGGTTGTTATAATTCACCAGGTTCACCATGTACCAGTGTTACACTGGAATGTTTAGGCGATAAAGTTTTATCATTAGATCATGCTATCGAATTGGGAAAGTCAGATGATATATGTCAGAGTGAAGATCAATGTTTATGGAATTTATGTTGTATACCACAGAACAATGACGTACCGACACTTGCTGAATTTAAGTATCGTTTATCAGTTTTTACATCGTGTTCTTTTCAACAATCTTGTACTGTCACAGTTCCTTATAACCAGAGTCTAAAATATGACTATATCTCATATCCTTACACATGTTTAAAAGGTATGTATAAACTTGCAGTTTTACTATAATTAATTAACTCAAGGAAAATAATATTGCATGTGCGGTATTGTAGTAAAGGCGTGAATTTGCCTCTACTGTCTCATCTTTTTAAACACGCGTAACTACAAACTTTACTGTGTGATGTTGTTGACAACTGTGTATACGTATTATTAAACCTACATTATGCAAGAGCTAAATCTGTCTATTGCAGGTCTTTCTTTGGACCAGAAATGTTATAAGAACTATTAATTAGATATTTATTAACAAAACAAGACCATAATCAAATCTCGATGGCATCGGATACTCGAGATTTGAAATAGATTAGGTTTTTTCGTGCATCTATCGAGGGCATTATTGATTGTAAATCGACACACGCATGTCAACTAGCTGTAATGTATTTTGTTCTTATTGTAATAATTAATGTCCGCAAGTAGAATAGTGTAACATATTATTTATAGATATATATTATTGGCAGATGAAATCAACATTGATATGTCAGGGGATGTTGACATTAAGATGGTTAAGAAGCAAGTCTATCTGTATGGTAATGGTAGCAATAATCCATCATCAAGTTTAACTCGCGTCTGCAAGGTTCAAACTTTTAATCATGCTATAGCTGTAAAAGCTCTTTATATAAATTTGAGGAGTGAATCGTGTAATAAGATTAAAATATCATCACAGAACGAGACTCTGTTTAACTGTACAGATGAACAACTTGTTATATTAAATGAGGAGTTAGATATAACAGGAAACCAGATTGATATAACAATTCATGATCTGACACTACAGGCTGATGAATTCATCTGGCTGGAATTTCTTACGGGTATGACAATATTTATATAAATATAAATTTATGTATATAATATTTTAATATTTTTAACTATGTGTAAAGTGTAAATATATTTAAGAAAAGTATGGTAGATAATTAGGTATGTAAATAAGATATGAACATTATTTTTGTAAACAAGTTTTAATAATTACATAAATGGTTGACCTACGATCTGAGCCACATCGCTTTGGGTACTTCAATAAGCACAGCATTCAATATGTAACATTAACATTAGTTTTTATTAAGTAAGGCAATTACACGCCTGTAATATTTTCAGATGATGATGCTGACCTAGCTATAAAGTGTGAGGGTAAGGATAAGTTAAATGATGTTTTACCATTAGAATCTCGCTTGCTTTAATATTTTTCTGAGTAAATGTAGAGCAATATAGATTATAAAAACGAATGTATGTTCTAGAGATTAATAATACAAGTAAGACTATGTTTAAACGTTGCATTCAGAAGGAACTTATTAACAGTGACACAATGCAGTAATTGTTATAACAGTCCCAGCAGTAGTTCAGGTGAAAATATTTATAGTAATGAAATACAATAATATAATCTATTATCTAAATATCTAAACGTCATTTGGTCACTAACACTATCATCGAAGCCATTACATTATCTAACCCACATTTTGTTACGTGATTGTTCTAAATTACTGTTACGGCAGTAATAGGTATTAATTGCCCTGCTGAATCCAACTTTAACATTAGCACGTGCTGTGATGTCATATTGTAGTCCATCCCAAACTTAGGCTGCCTGAAAAACAGACCCTAAGCAAATAAACCGACATTTTGATTCCTACATCGACAATTTTAGTCGAAAACACTGAGTATGCTTTTAGTAATTTTTAGAAGTATTTTTTTCTCTTCTGTTGTCACATTGAATGAAATTACATGTTTATTTAGCCGCTGTATGTATGAAACATGTCAAACTAATCAAACCCGAATCACAAAATAGTCCTCTAATTATTCAATATGGCGGCGCCCATGAAAGATAATTTCACAGAGTCGGTTTTGTTTGCGAAGACAATTTAGGAGTATCTAACCTTGTTTTGAAAGATAAACAGATTGAAATTAATTCTAAAGACAGTTTACAATGGCAAAGAATGTATTGCAATATTACCCACTAGCACATATTATATATCGCTTTTACCGGAGTGGCAAAGTTGACATTTTGCCAGTGACATGTGTGTACATAAAACACGTGCTTGATCGGGTTATTTTTACTCTGTTGTGTACACAAAGCAGTAGTCCAGTCGATAAGTCCCACCCCAAAATGATCACGTGAGCGTTTTAAATGGCGGGCAACTAGGGCAGTGATCATAATCTCGAAGTATGACGTAGATGGATCGCTGCGTGCATTTTGATCGTAGTCATGTGAGCCCGCATGCCTCTGACAGCCGCCATGTTTTAGTCTTTTCGTTTACCCCTTTGTGATGTTTATTTTAGTAATTCGTCATCTTTACCCTAATGTTTGGATCAAATACAATGCAAGATAAGCTGTGAGAAACTGTCGATTTATTTGACTGACATTATATGCTAAAATAGTATGTTTTAATAACTATGTTTTGTGAAACACTGCAAGTAAACAAACTTTCGTAAGCCACGTTATGGCTGTAACATGTACATGGACAGTACACCGCATTTCCTTTGTTATGTCAAATTAAGTGCACATTTTAGTTTTCTAAAACGGACACTGTGCTTACTTTCGGTGCCATTATGGAATTTAAATTCAGCCCATCGGATGAAAAGGAGGGTACTGTTAGTATTCCACATCTAGAAGATGTAGTAATGATTATGTCCATTCCCAACATTGCTACGGCGATGTCATTAATGTAGTATTCAAAGACCTGATCAGCAAAATACAATCAGCTAAAGACAGTCTTAGACTGAGCTGATGTATTATGTGAAATGTAAATATTAATAGCATTTTGAATTAGATATTTTCTTATACGAGCAACACCTTCTAATAAAAACCTATTGGTATTTCATTAAAACTTCAATTCAGCAATTAATTAAAATGTTTGTGAATCAAATTTATTTTATTTTACATAGAAAACTATTCTTGATATGTAAAAGCCATGCTTTCCTACGTTTACAGATGGTGGTAAAAAATCAACTTTGATCTACGTCGTCGTTTGTTCAGGAGGATCTGTAGTCATAATTGTACTGGTGGTGATTGTGGTTAATAAGTAAGTCATACTAAATCATTGATGACTAAATGATATGAAATGAAATGAGGTTTAACGTCCTACTGTTCTGCCCCTAAAGTGGGCTAATGAAGACGGGCATACGCCATACAGTGTGCTATGCGGGAAATTTTGCCCAGGCAGTGGCGCTACGGCCTACTCTTATATCGAATTCCAACTGCCAAGAGATCTTTTACGTGCACGCCAATATGGTTTTTCGTCCCATCCGAACGACTAGACAGCTGTTCTTGCAGGCCCTCCGCCCTGCATCACTGACAAGGGCAAACCACGCCGGAAAATCTGGATGAACTTTCTCGGCCAATGCAGGGATCGAACACCCGACCTCCAGGCTAGCGAGCCAGCGTCTTACCCACTTAGCCACGTGATCCCCCCAATGATGACTTTATATTTCTTATATTTCTCGAGAATTGGCATACGGGGACCTCGGGTTTTCGTATTATCCGAACGACTATGTTGTCCGTTGTCAGCCCCTCTGTCCCGCATCACTGACATGGTTGAACGACACCGGAAAATTCTGATGATCTTTCTTTGCAAAGGGATCGAACACTCGACCTCCTGGTTAGCGAGTCAACTTCTTACCCGATTTGATTTGATGTGATGTGTTCTTTGAACATTTTACGTTTATGGATGAAATCGGCGATTTTGTGTTGACAGACTTGACATTTGTTAAAGTAAAATTATTAATCTAGGCGATATCTGTGTCTTAGTATACTCAATTCACCAAGACTTTTAAAAAACTTTATTACTCTGATGTGTAAAGTTTGAGCTATCCGTTGATCCTTCAAAACCAACATTACAATCCCCGTATTTATATCATTAGGTAAAAAAATAATACTACTGAACAATACAAAATGGTCATTGGGTTTTCATTACATATTGTTTGATGTTTTCATCATACGTTCTATATGGCCATCACAGAGATTATTCGGCCATTGAACCAACAACCATTTAAATTCCTTTAAAATAATTAATTTCCTTGTAAAAACTTTATAATGTAAAAGTAACAAGTTGTATTCAACACGAATCTTATTTTCTTATACTTCCTTCCAATATTTAATCGTATAGAGTTTAAATCACGGTTTTTTGGCGCCTTTATAGAACAAATGGTGAACAGTACATGTCAGCAATTTGTTTCTTGTTGCGCATTTTAAGCTTATAATATTGTAACCAGGATTACAACAGAATACAACTGCCACAAGTATTGCTGGCAGTAGTTGTGATTCCTGCAGTTAGATTTTTATTAGATTGGTTAAATAAAAACTTGTCTTACAGAATAATACTGAAATCCACATAGTTTATATATGAGATGGAAGTTGAATATAAGTCTAAAATAAAGGTCGTTGTATAAATTATGGCCTATATGTAAACTAGATATGTAAATTACGGATGTGACGCAATTTTCAGATGCCTGATAATTCTTTTATCAGGGACTGTGAGATGATATAAGCTCGAACTGCAATATGAACTATGTAGAAGCTAACCGAGTTGTCTCATTTTTAGCTCTTTGTCTAATAAATGAAGAAAGTTTCGCACGTATAGAAACACATCATTTCCTGCATTTGCATCACATCTGTATTATGCGAAACGAGTTAACACAACCCTGTTCTGATGTTAATTTATTCCATTTTGTTCTAGATCAAAAGGCATCGTGCTATTCTGTTATGGTTTCTAGTTTTGAAAATATATTTTATATTTGAACTCATTTGCAATAAATATTTCTTTTAAAAGGCGTATTAAGAGTAAAGGGTCAAAGGTGAATACGATGTCCCAGAATTGCACAACGGAACGACACGAGCCCATAGAAGAACTAGAAGACCCATCAAATCCATATGCAGAACCATGGGAAATGACATCATTATCAAGCACTGTCTGTCACTCTGATGAAGGTGCATCGCCACACTACTATACTCTGGAGAGAGATTGCAACATTAACAATGATGCCACCGAGATCCCTGATAGTACAGAGAAAAAATTCCTTACTCAACTAGAAATAAAAAGACGAGAACACGACCAGGGATACACGCAGGTGTGTAGGGGGGCCAAAATTCAAACATTTTGATGCAGCGAGAGAAACAGTTAAGGAGAACAGTGGTTCACCTGTCCGTGACCACATTTACTAATCACCATGTGTATTCTTTATCCTCCCAATTTCCTACCCTCTACCAAATTCCCACCCTCACGACTAGAGAAAGATGAAAATGTGTTCTAAACTCAATTGAGCAAAGCCGAATATGATGACTACAGTGTGTGTAAGAAAGGCTTATAATATTTTAGAGTCAAAAATATTATACACCTTTACTAGGTACCCTTTAAATCTTGAGGCCCTATGCTTCAGGTTACCAAGCCTATACGTTAGGTAAATCCACACTGACCTGACTATACATAAAGAAAAGTTAGGCTACTATATAATCGTAAAGAAATGAAATTAGGTTTAACGTTTTCCTTTTCTGTGTAAACCTGTCTAATGAGGACGGACATCCATACCATGTGCTATGAAAGAAATTTGGCCCGGACACTAGCAACTACTACACACTTCTCCTTGCCAACCCTGCACCACTGACAAGGGGAAACCCTGCTACAAAACCCCAATGAACTTTCTCGACAAACACCTCCTGGTAAGAGAGTCAGTGACATCTTCAATGAGCCACGGTTGCTACTTCGATTTAAAGAACTTTTTAGTGTAGGGGTCGGGTTGGGTGGAAGCAAAATGCACCTCTATGTACAAATAAGGCAAGTGCCCTGTTTTATTACTGGTCAAGGCGGAATATAGCCCAAAAGCATTTTCTCTATCTATGCATCCACTTTAAAATTTAATTTATACATCAGTATTAGCTGAGCTTTATTTTACGCTGCACACAGTATTATTGAATCACTTAATATGACTATCATTAATGATAATAACGTAACTTTTTCAGCTTACCCAGACGAAATTACTAATCATTACTATTATTCAAAACAGTACATCATAATATCCCTATTCAACGTCTCATTTTGACTTCAATCGCGGGGCTAGATCATAAGATCTGTCACTGAGACGAGTGGTGTGGTATCGATTCCCCATTTGTACGTGACAAAGAGTAGGGTCGCCTGCCTAGTCTCTTTGGTTGTTCTCCGGGTTCAATGGTTTCCCCTCACTGTTAATAAATCCCACGAGCAAGCGAATTATCGAAATATAACCGAACGATGTGTTAGTCCCGAAATGACTTAGTTTGTGTCAAGTAGACGTTAAACACCATTTCTCACTCTCTGCCTTTCTTTCTTGACATATTAAATCAAGATCTTGTCCAACCAACATCCAGTGTGGAGCTATGGTGCTTCTCTTTCAATTGCGTCTATTTACGAAGTTATCTTGCTAATCGAGAAGTTTACGTTCTAGGTGGTGCAGGGAGACACGAGATGATTGTAATTCAAACAGTGTAAAAGTTTAAACGGTTCAAATCATCATTCAATGCAACACTATTACAATGGATTGTTAAAGCTATGAGGAATCTTCAAATTAGAAGTGACGTTTGGTGTTTCAGAAAGAGTAAGCATACACGGCAATGTTTTCGAAATTTCGCTTGAGCTGAAAGATCTCCGCCACAGATTGAGCAACATGCTATGTCTTGATCAATAATAGTTTTAGTTATCATTCCTATTATCTAAATCTTTATAACGGCCAATTGCACAAAATGTAACAAGCATCGGATAAATATATTGAAGGGATTGATCGTCTCGATTTTTCTTCCAAGATTTGTCTAAGGGATATATAGACTATGACGTCATTTTTGCGGGTGATTTTCTGATCCGTGCACCCCAAATTCATAAATATTACAAATAACAATGTGATTTACATGCACGCCATTGTGTACACGTGATTTCGTTTTTGGTCCGATTCAAACAACGGTTTCTTTCCATGCCCGCCAACCCGCATCTCTGAAACATAGAAACTACGATGGGAAATCCTAATCAACTTCCTGTCTAATATGCAACTATGTCGGTAATAATTAAAAAGAAAATGGGCAGCTGGACAGAACTGGTCAGAAATTTATTTATCGAAGCAACGGATTAAAGGACATAATTATATTTATATTAACTTAAGAAAATAAACATTTGTAATTATTGATTACATTAAAAGTGTCATTATATATAATAGATCAGGTGTTATGTAATAAAATACCTTGATTCATAGTAAGTACATGTAGTGAGTGAAGTACAATAAACTATAATACTTACTTATTGAAGAACAATTACTAATTTATTTGGTCGACATTTGGAAGAATATCATTAAAAGGTTCAAAACATGTTACTTAATGTCTCTAAAGGATTATAATTAAATATAATTGAATGATGTGTAATATTTTTTTCGGTTATGTGTTATTCACATTATAAGTGACATAAATATCTGTTGTACATTATAAATAATAGAGTAAAGCCTATTTTTAACCCAATTTCATCTATGTACATATTTGCTCGGTTGATGTTTAAACATTCCAAACTATGCATGGGCTCCAGCTTCATAATTATTATGACATATGATTTGGATGCAATTAATTTGTATTACACTTTGGATTGTATTGGTATGGAATTGAGGGACGCTAGACGAATAGACCTAGTTGGGATTTTGTCTTTTCAACCAAGTTGGATTCTGGTGTTTTACACCATAAAAAAATGAGGTGTGCATATTATATATAACTGTCATGACCGTTCACATTAAAGAACATGTTTCATGTTTTAAATGTATATTATAATTTGAACAAACACAAAGATTCAACCGTCAAAGTCCGCTCTGAATAAAATCAGCTCCTAAATTTCGTTCAAAAGATTGCTGTAGTTCATTCCATTGGTTGTATTTGTTTGTTGTGGACTATCACCAGTTGCGGTTGTTTGTTGTGGACTATCAACAGCTGTATCTGGTCTACTGTCATCATATTGGTTTATACTGCCCATATTATAATAACCAGTTTGTTGTCTTGTATTTAAAGAATCATAAACAACAGTTGCTGTATCTCCAACCCTATTAAGTGTAGTGGTATAGTCATGATTGTTCTGGTTTACTACCTGATGAGATTCTCTTTTCTTAATTATCCTGGAATTAAAAAACAAATACATGATGTCCGTGGCACGTAGAATATATTCTAAACTGAAATATGCGGTCTTCTTGTAAGCGTGTAAGTATTTGACGATAAAGGGATAGTCCCAAATACGTTTTGGTGAGCTAAGCTTTAATTTTGTGTTAAGGGGCCTTTAAAATCTTTAACTCCGTCCCATATAACTCTCTGAAACTCTTTTTAACGTACATGTGGGATTGGAGGTGATTCCCAAACAGCACGAGGTGCCTGCATAACAATGTCTATGTACACGTGGAATACAGTTACCGTTTATTATTGAGTGACGTTTCGACAAGGCGGAAAAAGCCTCAATATTGTTTCTTGATATTTTCAGAAAAATTAATTCACATTTTCAGGCATTAATTTGAATACATTTTGTTTATATGGCTAACCATACAATGAAACCAAAAGGGGCGATGTGTCTCTGCTACTATTCAGGGAGATAATGTCTTCATACGAGTGTGACAGCTTACACAGATGACAAGTAAAATATTATTTTAGAGAAACAGTGTATGTTAGAAGAGGCAAAACAAGACCAAATTACTCCAACTTTTTATAAGTTTAAAACTATTTACCTTTTAAAATAGATAATCAGTAGAATTATAACACAAATACTGATAAATAAAGCTGTTCCCAAAATTCCTCCAACTATCGCCGCTATATTCGTCTTTAATTCTGTAAGTAAAGTAGAGTTTATATGAATTAATAACAAAATTACTCCCTCTTTATGTAGAATGAAGACAGTGTTATCAACTGGACTAATTTCAGTGATTATTTAATGTGCGAACACGAGTGACACTGGTCCATATACCCCTTCCAGGTAATTGAATCAGCCATGTGGATGTAAAACTTTTTTTTTTTCGTCCTGTAGAATTCTTTAAAAACTCAGTTCTCAATGTGCTGAACAACATTAAAGACAAGATATAGACACATGGGGTGGGTTTAAGTTCATGATACAATGAATCTAATGATTTAAAATTGAATATAACTTGATTTGATACTTTATGTCTGTTACCTCGATAATTAACATCTACTGTAGTTGATGTAACCTCTAAAGGTGGTGTTAATACCGTTGCTGTAATTGAAAAAAAAAACGGGTTACCTAGTGATGAAGTCTAATAGGGATATTGCTTATTTTTTTAAAATGGGATTTCCTATTTGTTCAGGAGCTACCAACGCACAATACTCAACTGCATCAATCATTTGGCCTTATGATATCACTCATTTTCTACCAGTTAATAATTCGAGTTCTTTTGAAGAAAAAAACCCAATTATTTTAAACTAAATGTCTGTTACCTTGATGAGTTACCTCGACTGAAGTTGATATAACTACTACAGATGGTGTTGATATCGTTGCTTTATTTGAACAGAACAAAGTAGATAATATTAAGCTGTACAGTTTAGTAGTGTGGCGCTAAAATTATAGAAAGAGGGGGCAGCTTACCAATTGTTGAAATACTGTTACCAATAATCTCAAGACTTTAAAATAAATTGTCCGGCAGTGAAGGGACATTGCACATTGATTAAGTAAAAAATAACACTCAGCAGCTAGTAATCCACTAAGGATAAGCGCACTCTTTTCGGGTCACGATGCGCATGGAATGGAAAGTGTACACCACATCATAAGATATCATAATCTTTCACTATTTGTACTTAAAAATGACTATTTCAGTATTTATAATAATAGTGGTTAGAGCAATGTATACAAACATCTGATGTAAGATATCGGAAACTTTTAATATGTGCTTTCGTGCTGGTCTATGGCCATTCCAGTTTTGATGATGATAATATCAATCAATCCCAAATAGAACAGGCAGATACATATCTACTGATGTTTTGCTACTTTCTTGTGTATGTATCTATCTGCCTGACACGCTAGACGCTAATAGTGTGACTTTTACAGTAAAATATATAATTGAACTTACCCTGATCCATAACTTCACACTTTAAAGATATGTTAGCATCGTCATCTGAAAATGTAACATAATAAACTTACTTGGGCGAACTTGTTTTATATTGCATTCTGCAAGGGTCAAGGGTTATTTTACGTGCACCCCAAGATATTCCACACAATAAAACTCGTCAGACCCTTCTTTCTGCACCACTGAGAAGTGAAAATATCTCGGGTAACTTTCTTTTTTTTCAATAAAGTTATACAAACGACCCTAACCCTTGTGACATAAAATCACGCATGCATTTTATTTCGTTACATTTCGCATAAAGTTTTATTTAGAAATGTAATTTTCGCAACTTTTTTACATAAATAATATTCATATTTTATTACATACCTAATTATCTATCATACATTTTCTTGAATCTATTTACCTTTTTCATACAGTTAATCTAAACATATTAAATACATAAATCTATATTCTATATAAAATTTACATACCTACTACAAATTCAAGCGAGATAAATTCATCTGTCTGTAATGTTAGACTATGAATTGTTATATCAATCTGGTTTCCTGTTATATCTAACTCCTCATTTAATATAACAAGTTGTTCTTCTGTACAGTTAAACATAGTCTCGTTCTGTGATATTCTAATCTTGTTACACGATTCACTCCTCAAATTAATATAACGGGCTTTTACAGATTTAAATTGATTTTTAGTTTGAATCTTCCAGGAACGAGCTAAATTTGATGGTGGATTATTTTTACCATTAAGGTACAGATGGACTTGCTTCGGAACATTATTTTCGACTTCCGCTGACATATCAAACTTGTTTTCATCTGCGAAACAAATTATTAAAACAAAAAATAAACTATCAGACAGGAATAAGATTAAATATAAATGGAAACCATCAACTTTGTACATGTCTTACACAGATAGGCATATAACTTTTCAACCAGCCTTCGTACCTTTTAAACATATGTGTAAGGATATGAAATATAGTCATATGTTAGAGACTGGTTGTAAGAACAAATTACATGTTGTTTTAAAATATATAACAAATGTAAGGCCTATATACGATCTTAATATTCTTAATATTATTTTCTTTGAGTTAATGAATTATAGTAAAACTGCCAGTTTATACATACCTTTTAAACATGTGTAAGGATATGAGATATAGTCATATTTTAGACTCTGGTTATAAGGAACTGTGACAGTACAAGATTATATAAATAAAACTTTAATTTTACTTAAATTTTTCAATACTGTTACCTATAATGTATAGAGATTTACAAGAAAAATCTGATTAAAGACAGCTCCTATTTCGTTTCGATTTTTATAGTTCAAACTTTCGTTTTACTTGTCTTTACTACACTAGGAGCTGGAAAAGTTGTTATATTATTGGCGTTCTTGTTGAAGTGAGAGATTAGCCAATGACACGGTCTGTTACGGCGAGTTCTTGGCCTGCGATGCACGGAACTGTGGGTAAACCACTAGAAACGTCAACGCTGATTGATTAATCAATGTCTGGCGTCAGAGGCTCAAAAGCCGCTTGATCTACCCCGACGCGACCTTCCAGTACAACCGTTCAGATCTTCGTGTAGTGTAGGCCATCGAAAGTATAAAAAAAACGAAACGAATTAAATATCTGTATTTTAATCAGATTGATTCAAGGAATGAAGAATATTTACTTATGAATACTAATATTCGCTTTGGGTACATCTACTCAACCGGGTGGCAATGTAAGTTAAGTTCTCATTTATTTATTCAGTTAAATAAGATTACTTTTATGAGAGAGAGAGAAATGGGGTTTAACGTCCACTCGACACAAACTAGGTCATTTCGGGACTAACATATGGTTTAATTTTATTTCAATAATTCGCTTACGCGTAGGGGTCTTTAGCAGTGGGAGGAAACCAGAGGACCCGGAGAAAACCCACGAGGTTGGACAGGCGACCCTACTCCCTGTCACGTACAACCGGGGATTCGAAACCACGCCAGTCGACTCAATGACAGACTTTATGATACAGCGCGCGCACGCTAACCATTCAGCCATCCAACCCCCCGATTACTTTTATAATCACATCTGTATTTGGGGCGTATAGTCGCCATCCTGTCGGTCCGTCTGTTTGTCAACAATTGCCTTGTCAACCCGATAGGCTACAATTTTTTAATTGATCATTTTAACATTTGTTGTGAAGGAATGTGGCCACGAGAGGAGTAGCCTATCGATATTCACCGTTCTGCGACCTTTCGTACTTTCATGTGGACGTGTATAGCCGTCGGCCCTATCCGACCGTTCGTTCGTGTGTCTGTTCACATTTTGTTTGTGGACACTCTACAGGTCACAATTTATTCTGGTTTAAACTTGAAATATAGATGTATCTCCCATAGATCTCGGATCCTTTCGACATTGGCATGTATTGGATCGTAACTTCATGGATTATGGCCCCTGCTTGTACGAAAAATCACGTTTTTAGCCTGTAGACACTCTAGAGGTCACAATTTGATCCGATTTTGATAAAACTTTAAATTTATGTTTATATCCCAAAGATCTCGGCGCCTTTCGAAAATCACGCATATCGGAACGTAACTTCCTGGATCATGGCCCTTGATTGTTCGAAAAATCACGCTTTTAGCTTGTGGACCCTCTAGAAGTTACAATTCGGATTTAATTTTTTTAAAAAAAAGTTTAAATATATTACCATTACACCTCAATGAAGGTTGAGGTGTAACTTCCTGGATTATAGCCCTAAATTGTACGAAAAATCGCGTGTTTTTAGCTTGTGGAACCTCTAGAGGTCACAAGTTTTGTCTGATTTAAAAAACAATGTTTAAATACATCACCGTTACGAACACACTTATGATGATTGAGTTCAAATCTCGTGAAAATCGGACCGAAACTTCTTGACAAAAGCGGTTACCACGTCCGCGCTGTATTATAAGGTCTGCCATTGAGTCAACTGACGGGATTTCGATTCACCGGTTGTACGTGACAAGGAGTAGGATCGCCTGTCCAACCTTGTGGGTTTTCTCCGGGTCCTCCGGTTTCCTCCCACTGCTAAAAACCCCTACGTGCAAGCGAATTATTGAAATAAATATTGAACCATGTGTAAGTCCCGAAATGACCTAGTTTGTGTCAAGTGGACGTTAACCCCCACCTCTCTCTCTCTCTCTCTCTCTCTCTCTCTCTCTCTCTACTTGACCAAATGGCTGCTATTAGCTTTTGAATTTTAGACCTGGCTGGGTCATCATTACTAAAGTTGATACGATGAAAAACATAGTTTCGATTATCCATTTTTGGATTTAATCATCAATAAGAGTTGAGCAGAAGATCGGATTCAAATCCAGTAATATCGCAGGCTAGCGATGACATCGACAGTTGATTATGGTTTGGATAAGTTAATTAATGTCTAATTAATAATTTAGATAATATTTCAGGCCTAAAGAAAGACCTGCAATAGGCAGATTTAGCTCTTGCATAATGTATGTTTAACGAATCCGTTTCAAATTGGGTGATCACGAGAATTTGAAACTTGATAATGATCCCTTATGGCAGGGCCATGGTCATGTGGAGAGGTCCTCAGATCCAAAGAAAGTTCCTCCGAATCCGAGAAAAGATTCCTCTGTGTCGGTCTACATTCGAAAGGCTAACAACAGTAGTTATTTGTTTTGGAATTCGTTCAAACAAATTTCTGCTAAAATACTATACAATTCATCCTTTAGAATTGCAATAATTTTTCACTCAATCTCTGGAGGCACCCCAGTTGGCGCGGGCCATTTTTCTTTTGTCAGCTTTTTTTGCAGGGGTGGGTGGTTAACAACAACAGAACCACTGTCATATTACAATCCTCCATATGTAACGAAATGGCGCAAAAAGCATTGCCAAAGAAACTGTGTGACTCTTTATACACCTTTGCCAAATGCCGTGCAATAGGGTTTAACGTCATACTTTTCTTTACCAACCGGGCTAATGAAGACGGTCATACACCATATAGTGTTCAATGGTGAGAAATTTTGTTCGGTTAGCGATGCTACGATTTACTATTATTTCGATTTTCAACTGCTAAGAGTTTCTAACGTGCACGCCGACGTATACACTTGTCGGTTATTGCCCCATCCGAGGGGGGTTGGATGGCTGAATGGTTAGCGTGCGCGCGCTGTATCATAAAGTCTGTCATTGAGTCGACTGGCGTGGTTTCGAATCCCCGATTGCACGTGACAAGGAGTAGGGTCGCCTGTCCAACCTCGTGGGTTTTCTCCGGGTCCTCCGGTTTCCTCCCACTGCTAAAGACCCCTATGCGCAAGCGAATTATTGAAATAAAATTAAACCATATGTTAGTCCCGCAATGTCGAGTGGACGTTAAACCCTCTCTCTCTCTCTCTCTCTCTCTCTCTCTGCCCCATCCGAAATACTCGATGACGTGCTCTAAAGTGTTCTAAATCTCATATACATGTAGTTACATGTAATTTTCAAAATGAAAAAAACAGGGTACATTGGTGTGCACGTAAAATAATCCTTGGCAGTTGGAATTCAATTGTTGTCCAAGAAAAAAAACTCTCTTATGGAACAATTTATGGCAAATAGCCGTCTTCATTAGCCTGGCTCGAGCAAGTAAGTTTATTATGTTACATTTTCAGATGACAATGCTAACATATCTTTAAAGTGTGATGCTATGGATCAGGGTAAGTTTAATTATATTTTAATGTAAATGACACACTTGTATGCATAGGCGTACGGGCTCGATGACAGTTAGGGGGGCAGAACGCGATATGCCCGAAAAAATTTCGGGTTTACAGCCAAATGGCTGACCGGAATTCCAAACAACCAATCAATCGTCGCTGGGTTCGGGGGTATACCCTCCCGGAAAAAAATTAAAAAAATTTAACCACCGCAAATGCGTTTTCTGCTATTCTAGCACGTGTAATCTCCAAAAGTATCCAATGGTTTTGTAACCGAATTCCCACTCTGAATTCCAACCATCCAATCAGACTGTTGCAATTGCATTCACAAATAATAATCGATGCCCGAAAAATGTCGCATAAAGTAGAGTGACTCCAGGCAACATTTTTTAATCCATAGTCAACTCTGTACAAATTCGTGGTATTCAATTAAAAGAAAAGTAAAATTAGTGTTATATTACGGCTCGATAACAGTAAGGGAAGCAAAACTAGAAATGCCCGAAAAAATTTCGGGTTTACAGACAGCGGCGCCGGTTTTCTTCGAGAGGCGAAGAAGCGGAACTGACCTTGTATGGACCCCGCAAGAAAATTTTGGAATATTTGACAGCCGCAAACGCGCTTCCTGCTATTCCAGCCCGTAAAATTAGTGTTTTATTAGGTTTCGGGCACTTTATTTTGCCAAGTAGATGAAATAAAATTTTTTTGTCACTTTACCCGTCTGCCCGAAAAGTCAGCTTGCCCGAAAGTTAGGGGGGGCAGCTGCCCCCCTGCCACCCTGGCTCGTACGGCTATGCTTTTATGTCAACTTATAGCGTTTAACTTGTTAAATGTACAATCTACTTTAAAACCAATGCTACTTTCTCTTTTCATGTATACATTTTAACTATATAACAATCTGTGGAATCGATAAGTTTTTCTTTTTACAGGGATTAGCTAAAAGCTTTGCAGATTTGAAACTGTTTCAAACATTTTGTTTTTGTTGTTGCAATACTTCTTTCCATGCATAAAAAAAAAACAAAAAAAAAAACAATAGAAGAGATCTAAATGCTTAAATTTTCACCTCGGTAATGTCCCTGTTGAGCTCCAACCCATTCATTTTAATAAGCGTTTATCTTTATCATCTTCGGGTGATTCCTACCAAATTACAAATAAATCTCTTTAACCATTCGGAAGGTTTGTAAAGGGCGTATAGCTCTATTCTCTCAAAACTCAAAATAGTAATGTAAAGGAATTTAAATAAAGTGATTTATATTCAATTTCCAAACTTTATAATACATGTATAGTATATTCTAAGCATTTTCTTTTCGGTGAAATACGTGAACAAGAACCCGAATTGTTGTTTAGGTTAGCTTAGTGACAGCTTAGTCGATTCTACATGTTTTTCCCCTTTATTCCCCTTTCGACTACATATCGCATTTTGTGCAAAATGTTTACTGTTTTGTCAGTCAGTTAAGTCTATTTTAGAGAAAAAGGTTATTTAAAATCTGAATGCACAGGCATATTTAATAGATTGGCTTGTGTGGGTCACCTACTTTTTCCATTGTAAGGAGCAGAACAGTAGGACATTAAACCCCATTTCATTTCATTTCGGTGGAAGCGGACGTAAAATACAACTAACTCACACACATTTAAAACTATACACATACTTATGGAAAACAGCTACTGATTTATTTCTGCGACGTTTCGAAGAGTATTCTCTCAACGTTTTCAAGCTAATTTCTTTACATTTTCAAATGTTGTTTTACATGCTCGGCAGAAAGGTCTGAACCTAGGCCTTATTAGCCAAGCGGGGACAATCATATTCCTTTTAGAAATGTTACCTTGGCAAATTACATAATTCTACAATAGTTATGAGGTATTATTACATAAACTCTGTCAAAATACACAATACAGTTTTGTATTTAATGTTATTGTTCCAATTTATGTAAATTAACATCAGAGAGAGAGAGAGAGAGAGAGAGAGAGAGAGAGAGAGATGGGTTTTACGTCCACTCGACACAAACTAGGTCATTTCGGGACTAACACATGGTTCAGTTTTATTTCAATAATTCGCTTTCGCGTAGGGGTCTTTAGCAGTGGGAGGAAACCGGAGGACCGGGAGAAAACCCACGAGGTTGTCACGTACAACCGGTGATTCGAAACCATGCCAGTTGACTCAATGACAGACGTTATGATACAGCGCGCACGTGCTAACCATTAGGCCATCCAACCTCCCATATTAACATCATGGTAAGTTTACATGTACTCCATTTACATACATGTAATTTACCTTGGATGTAACTCAAAGCCATTAAAAACGCAATGCCAAATTCAAAGTTTATTTTCTGTAACAACTTTTAACAAATGTACATAACAATTGAAAAAGTCGAGATAACAAGCATCTGTGGATGATTTCATAAAAGAATTCACTACAAATGCAAAAAAAAACACCCAAAAAAACCGAAACGTCAGAGAACCATGAAACAAAGCAGGGGTCAGCTGAAGTCAATATCGGGTATGTCCACCCTGAGCTCTTACACATGCCTGCAGTCGCCTTGGCATGGAATGGCACAGATGTCTCACTACACGCTGTGGGATTGTTTGCCAATTATTTTGGAGTGCCTGTGTCAACTCTGCAACAGTTCGTGGCGGCACGGCTTGAGTTCGAACCCGTCGCCCAAGTTCATCCCAAAGGTGTTCGATCGGGTTCATGTCGGGAGACATATCGGATCAATCCATAACACGGACATGATGAGTGTTCCGAAAGTCTCTTGTCAACCCCATGGCAGTGTGGGGTCGGGCGTTTTCATTCTGGAAAACCATCTGTCGACGGACGAAGGATGGCGTCAACATAATGTTGAGCGTTGAGATAACCTTGGACCACCACCAACTGGGACCGGAAGTTGACGTTAATAGCGACCCAATCCATGACGCCATCTCCCCCGAAACGAAGGGGGGGGGGGCTGACAAGGACAGCTGTCTAGTCGTTCGGATGGGACGAAAAACCGAGGTCCCGTATACACATTGGCGTGCACATAAAAGATCCCTTGACAGTTGGAATTAGATATAAGAGTAGGTCGTATTGCCGCTGTCCTGGCAAATTTGCCCTCATAGCACACTGTATGACGTATGCCCGTCTTCATTAGCCCAGTTCCGAGCAGAACCGTAGGACGTTAAACCTCATTTCATTTCAATAATTCGCTTGCGCGAAGGGATCTTTAGCAGTGGGGGGAAACAGGAGGACCCGGAAAAAACAAACGAGGTTGGAAAGGCGACCTACACCTTGTCGCGTACAGGCGGGGAATCGAAACCACGCTTCTCCACTTAATGACCTTATGGTAAAACGCGCACGCGTTAACCCTTCGGCCACTTATTAATCAACCAAGCATGGGTTACTTTATCATAAGGGATAACTTTATGACCAAGAATTTACTTGCAATAACTAGCTTTGAATTATTTGAATCAATCACTCTACTGATCTCACGCCGCCATGTTATGGCTCCAAGTCTGTCTGAGAACATCTGATTTGATTTGAATCCACTAACAATGAGGCTGTCTGTTGTTTAATTTTACTAAATACTATCTACATAACACTTGTTGAGTGATATTATTCATTATTTTAATAATATGGTTGGATTGTTCTAGTGGTGGCGACCGGGGCAAGATGTGGTGAATGTGTTTCTGTTAAACCAAAGTCAGTAATTCGCGCAAATGGAAGTAATCAAGGTAATCATACGAATGACAATCAATTTAAAATCCACCTGACAAATTATTGTAATGTAGAAAACTCTAAATCCAAATTCTACCAACCGAAGGTGGCTTCTCTGACTTGAGCCGAGTTACCCATTACCACAAGTCCAACTGCACATTAGGGGATCACGGCGATTAAGTGGCTAAGACGCTGCTTCGGTAGCCTGGAGGTCGGGTGGTAGATCCCTGCATTGGCCGAGAGGTTTCATCCAGATTTTCCGGCGTGGTTCGAATCTCCCTTGTCAGTGGTGCAGGACGGAGGGCCTGACAAGGACAGCTGTCTAGTCGTTCGGATGGGACGATAAACCGAGGTCCTGTGTACACATTGGCGTGCAAGTAAAAAGATCCCTTCACAGTTACATGTATAAGAGTTGGCCGTAGTGCCGCTGTTCGGGCAAATTTTCCCTCATAACACACTGTATGGAGTATGCCCGTTTTCATTAGCCCAGTTCGGAGCAGAACACTAGGACGTTAAACCCCACTTTATTTCCAACTGCCCATTAGCATAAGCTTAACTGCTCAATATCATTGCCCATTATCAGGCCAACTGCCCATTACCACACATTCAATTGCCCATTACCACAACCGCTAAAGATAAACATTAATTTCTTAAACCCTAGTTTGTCTATTTTCATCTGAGTTACCTGGTCCAAATACACTCTATTCCACCATGACAATTAATTTCAAATTACTGTATTAAACGCAAACTCAGTATTTTTAAATTCATGTCTATTCCTGTTGCTGACTACCGTGATATAATTAAGATATTATTACAGGTGGTGTTAAAAATTTAACTTGGATTATCGTCGGTGTAAGTGTAGTAGGCGGACTTCTTATCTTAATTGTACTGGTGGTGATTGCAGTTCACATGATAAAGTAAGTCTTATTTATCTTTATTAACGTTAGTTTTCTTATTGTGACCCATTACAACCGCAAACTGGGATCGTGAATAGCTTGTTGTCTCTACAAGTATTTACAGCCAGAATTTTATTACGAGGGCTGACTGAAAAGTTCTAATCCTGTCTGTGAAATACCTGCACAAAGTCGATAGTTTCAATTTATTTTTCTACATAGTACCATTCGAGGTGTACACACTTTTGCCAACGATATTACAAGGCCTGGATGCCGGTCAAGAAGACATTTTCTCCAGCTACCTAAAAAGTCGTTCACGTCTAACACGACGCCATCATTACTAGGAAAAACATTGAATTTTGGATTCTGGTTGAAAGTGGTGAATTCGGGTCTCATCCATGGTTACAAATCTGGCCAAAAAATTATCAGGATCTGCTTCAAAACGGTGCAGACTGTCACAGGACGTTAGACCCTGACACGTTTCTGATCCGCAATTCCTAACTTGCTGGTGATAATGTGCTCAATCCGCAAATAAGACACGCCCACACCACGAATGGCCAATCGTCGATTAGCCACCCGGTAATGTTTTCTGGATTGGTTGCTGTTAATGGCCTCTTCCAGGACGCGCGTCATCGTCAAGGCTCTGCAGCCCACTTCTTTGCTGTGGAAACGAAAGGGACATCATCCCTAAAGTCGGCATATATATGTGTTCTTTCAGTGGGTAAGTTCACAAGATGGTCTGATACGAAGACAATAACAACACTACAGTTGCAGTTCTTATGTCTATCAATCATCCATTGATTGTACTTGTTGGTGGCACATGTTTGTTTCAACCCAATTGATCTATCTTTTTCAGACTTAGAACTGTTCAGCCAGCCCTCGTGTATGCATAGCCCATCATGGCACTTAACAGTTGCCATTTAACTCAAAATTAAATAGACTGGGGTGTTTTAACGGGCCAAATCTCAAATGGTCCAACATTCAACCAACTGTTTCTTTATTTGGGGTAACAATGAGGTGTTACAAATGTGAAAAGAAACAAATTTCCCTGCAATAAACGAAAATGTCTCCCTGGTATACGTACACTCCGCAGCATATATTTTTTTTATGTCATTTACCTTGTTTCACAATAATGGATATTTCACAACATTAGAGATTGAAAGCGTGAACTTGTGTGTGTAAAATGCTTAATCTTAATCCTGTCTGTTTCCAGATTAAAGTTATTTAGAAATATATGTATGTCTGAAAATTATGATGTAAAGATGATTACTTTTTCAAATTTAGAATTATAGGTATTTAGGAGATATGTAATATTTAGGAGATACTAAGAGGATACCCGACCAGGGCCCAAATTCGCCCAGGGTGCAGATTCGACTGGGGCGCAAATTTACCTGGGTCCCAAATTCGCTCGGGGCCCAAATTCGATGGCCTAAAACATACACGGTGTCAAGTTGGTTAATTTGATACCACATAATGTGGGGGTGGAGCGCGGCGAAGAAGCATAATGGGCGAAGATGAAATGAAATGAAATGGGGTTTAACATCCTACTGTTCTGCTCCGAACTGGGCTAATGAAGACGAGCATACGCCCTACAGTGTGCTATGAGTGACATTTTGCCCGGACAGCGGCACTACGACATACTTTTATATCGAATTGCAACTGTCAAGTGATCTTTTACGCGCACGCCTATGTGTACACCGGACCTCGGTTTTGATCCCATCCGAACGACTAGACAGCTCTCCTTGTTGGGCCCTCCGTTCTGCACCACTGACAAGGGGGAACCACGCCGATGGGCTATCATACATACATACACACATCTATATTATTTATAATATAGATGTAAGAGAATTATAGTACACCCCTTGAACTGTAGTTAGTCAGATGAATATTTGAATTTACGCGCTGAATTTCAGTATTATTTTGGCAACTTTCATCATTTTGTTCCGTTTCGTTACTCAACAATATCTCCCTAAAGGGTCACGATTCGCTCTGAATAAAAACGAAGTCTCCTGTGGTCAGTTTTGGATATACATTAAAATAGGATAAAAGTGGTGATACTGTAGCTTATGGTGTTGTATAATAGTTTACAGTATACTGAGTGGAATACGATTGTTTTATTGGCAACACGGCCTCCTGCATTCAGAAAACATTACTATTGTAATATTCGATATCGGTTTATCTTTTTCTGCCACACATCTAAACTATGTGAACGTTCCTTTTGTGTTTTGGTGTTGGTTTGTTCGACAGAGTTTAGTACAAGACTCGTGGTACTATTCGGGCATGGTTTCTAGTTTAGAAAGGTGGTTGTGACTGAATTTATAATGACCTTTTCTTCTTCCAGAAAGCGTAAGAAGAATAAAACCAATAGAGATCCCAACAGAAACAACCAAACCACACACCCAAACCCATATGAGGACCCACCGGATATCACTTCATTTCCGATGACTTCCAAACTTAACAACACTGACAGTCAATCTGAGAAAGAACCCAAAGCTAATAGTGATACTGACGACAAAATCCTTTCTGAATCAGAAAAAAAGAAAAGAGAACACAACCAAGGATACACCCAGGTGAATAAGACGTTTCGGATGTATCCTGAATTACCAGAACAAAGTCCGCAGCATGATTCAGAGAAGATCAATAATAAGAGTACCTCCAGGGATTCCATTGTGGATCCAACTTATAATCATCTTGGTGAAGCGAGAAAACCAGAGAACAGTGGATCCTCTACCTATGACCACATTTAATAACCGATATTTGCACACTTTATTTATTCATTTTATTAAAGATGCATTATGTAGACTGTTTAATATCGCAGCAACGGTACTTGCCAAACGGCACTAATTTGCGATTATCCATTTTATCGTTATTTTTTTCTTTAATCTCGCGAACGTTCTTATCATTTTAAATCTCTGCCTACAGGTGTTCTAACAAAGTTGATAATAGGCTTGTCATGTTAATAATAAATGTCTAAATAAGATTGGAAGCCAAAATAAAGATATGCAATAGGCAGATTTAGCTCTTATATAATGCATATCTGCGGATACTTATACTGTTAGGCTTTTTTAGATTTATAATTGCTAATCGTTTTATTTGATAGCCTGTCGGTGTTTTGAAACACACATGTAAAATGATCTTATATATCTATATTGTAGATGAACAAGAACCCATAGTACAAAGTTTTGTATATCGCATTATTGAGTTTATAGTCCAAAGATATATTTTTATATTGCATTATAAAGTTCTTTAAATCTACAATACAAAATAATAGTCATGTTTGTGACATTGATTACAATAATTAATACGTCTCCTACTGAGTGTGTTAACATTATCAGCCCATACTAATATTAATACAAAGTTATTTTCGTATATTGCATTGAAATCTTAAACAATGTTCTATATAACATATGTTTCCCTGCTTTCAAAACTTGAACAGTAAATGGGTTGTGATGACTGAAATTTAAAACCCTCCAATCGTTTTTACTTCCCGATTTAACAAAACATTGTAGCCTATTTCTTTACCTTTGTCGTTTGATCTGCAATCTTAAACCAAACAAAAGATGTCTTGTAAAATACGGGACAACTATTTCTGGGGTGATTTAACTTAACGTCCTATTAATTTAAAATCTTGAGTATATTTTAGTAATGTCATATTCTATCACTAGCTTGCATTACAAAATTATTTATTGTATTATTCAGTCGCGCATAATACATGCTTACCCTTTTAATATGTCTAATAATACCAATCGGGTTAGGTTATATCAATGTATACATGTACACTATATCTGAATAATTCATATTTACATTATACCTGAATAATAAATTTTTACACTATACATGTTCTTTAAGAGACGGACATACGCCATGTTGCGGTGGGAGGGAGGGGGGTGTTCCCAGACATCAAATTCCGACTGCGCAGGGTTGTTTTACGTGCACGCCAGCGTGTTCGTGGGACCTCGGTTCTTCATTCCACCCGAACTAGACGCTGTTCCTTGTTAAGCCATCTGTCTAGCACCACTTACTGGAGGAAACTACACCGGAAAATTTCAATGACCCTTCTCGGCCCCGACCAACACCGGAGTCACACACACGTCATACTCAAAGACCCGCTGGGGCTCCCTTTTTATATCATATGAGACACATCAGAGATGCAGAATAATTGTTGCATTATAGTTAATGTTCATTTATTATTTCACTATCGACACTTTAATATTTTAAGAATTCCACGATTACAGTATTGTTATTTCTTTATTGTTGCATAATCCTATTTTACTAATTGAGTAATTATTATTTTTATCATTGTTTAATTTTTAATACTATAATATTAAATATTTATTTATAGTTTTTATCATTATTATTGAATAATAACTATTTACATAACCGCTTGAGATATTAAAGATAGTATATATTAACAACCGTATTCTTATTATCTGTGTCAGTATCTCGAGTACCCAAGGGTTGCAATCAGAAAGTAAAGCCACACTCACGTACATATATCAGTTTACTGTCAGTACTTAACGGACAATGATATTATTAAATTCTACGATTTTCCGGATTCATTTTTTTTTCTCGAACTGCAGATAGTGACATAAAATAAAGCGACTGGGGTATATGTTTATAGAAGCTGGGGTAATCTAGATATAGAAAGGCTAGCAGATTATTGGAATAATTATTTGTTAACTTCAAGGCACAGTTTAACGTCAATTTTTAATTTTGGGGTGATTTTGTCCGTTAACCTTACGAATACAGTGCGACAAAACTTGGATTTGTTGTCACGTTGGAGATTAGACTGGTATAATACAGTCTATGGAACGAAACTTAAAATAAAAAGAAACGAAGTATTATTAATATACAATGTATACGAAAGAACCGCATACGATCATACGATCTAAATGGGGGATGAGGTGGGGCTCTAGTGATCTACTAAAAATTCTTTCCTCAATACGTTAGTCCACACCATAATAATTTCAAATATTAATCTTGTGGGAATCACAAAAACAATCATAATTTTGTCTGTAAATGCAAGCTTCATGCGTATAGCTAATGGTCTCTTTATTATAGGATGTTTTTCGTCACAGTAATACGATAAAACAACCTGAAATTACAATGTTTGATCGATATTAGCGTTATTGAATTTTAAACAATGAGAGTTACTGAAAATGAGAATTGATTTGCGATAAGAAAGGATTAATCTAATAGGAAATATACATAACTAAAAGTGTGTATAGTCAGGCAGTGGGCCTTTGTTCATAAAGCAGTTTTGATTAGAAAAAGTATGAGAAAACATTTGTAAAAATATTAAGGCAGGATCACGATCGGTATTTACAACTAAGCGACTATATATATTGTCAGCCGATAACTTCAGTCAGTTATCATTTAGTTTATTTTAAAGATTGTGTGTACTTTACATGTATCATCTTCTAATATATGTTTATTCCCAGACTGCTAGTTTAATGTGGTTATACACAATTCCCAATGAAATGACCCCCCCCCCCCTCCAAAAGAAAAATGCGTAAACAAAGATCCCCAAACAACATTTGAAAGTTTGAACAAGTGGAAATAAGTGCTTAAACTGTACTACTTTTAGATAATGTGAAGTATATACGGCATACACATTGACGGCACATTTTAAAGGTTGTTGATTTCCGTATCGTTTCTATTTTATGTTCATTGAAGCTAAGTTAAAATAGGTACACAGTGTGGAAGAGAATTATTTTAAGACAGATATAATTATTATAACGAATTGAATGAATTATTGCCTTATATGGTTCCCGCGTTTATGTGTATAAAATAGTATATTTTCACTGCCTCATATACGTTATATCCATGGGACGGGGGGGGGGGGGGCGAGCATAGGGGTCCCATGTTTGCTGTGCAAAATGTTTTTTTAATGTTTAAACACTGATTTTGCTGGACGTACAAATACTGATTTTGCTGGAGACACAAATACAATAAATATGTTTCAGTTTTCATCAACCATTTACATTTTTATTCTAGTGAGTGGTTGTGCAAGTAGGGACCCCAGTGCAGTACCCCTACGTTATCCTACAGATGCACATAACATGTAACGCAGTGCTATATTATCTACACCTAAAGTTCAAAGATAGGACAAAATTTGTATCCACTATAACAAGCTAACAAACACTAAGACATAACATTCAGATAAACAGTGATCCAGATCAAAAGGGTTGTCCTTTTAATTGGAAGTCGAATGCAAGCAAGTTCGTATCCAACAGATCTTCACTGCATGTTAACTGCATGGTTCTAATCCATATAAAGGGTCACTTGTCGTTTTGTGGCAATTTTAAAGTAAAAATTTTATTTGTTTTTTGTTCAACAATTTTATTTTTCTAACACAGAAATCACGCTAATGAAAGAAGATCGGCAGGCCTAGCGTTGTCTTCAAAGGGCTAAGGCTTTAGAACCTTATTTTAAAATGCATCATTTTTCACCAAAAGAAGCCCTATTTAAAATACAAACCTATGCAAAAAGCGATTTCGGATATGTGTAGCGTATTTGTGTCGCTTATGTGTCGCTTATAAACAATTCTACAAACAGGGGCGGATTCAGAGGGACCCCCCCCCCCCCCGGACCCTTGCTCAGATACATAAAAATTTTTGTTTGTAAAACAAACTTTTGTAAAACAACCTTTTTATATGAGAAAAGTGTCATAAATGTGCTTTATCCTTTATCGTCAGATGGTGCGACAGGATGGGCACTCAAAGCGCTAGAGAGTGATATAGACATATGTGATATCACAATTAATGCTTTGCATCAATAATTAAATTGAATCACAATGTCGTCGTATTAATTCATAATAAAAATTGACGTCAAACAGGATGTTGGATTTCTCTGTTTAAAAAACTCAATGTGTATGTATGTACGCCAAAATGACGATAGAGACCATGTATTTCTCAAAAAAATTCAAGCCGAGGGAGGGGGGATACATTTTCTCAGGAACCTGGCAAACACCCTCCTACAAAAATTCCTGGATCCGCCCATGAAAAACATATCTGTTCTCACATTATGGAATGGAGTACATCTATATATTGAATATCCATAGCACCATTCACAGGTAAGTTCCATTAGTTCTTTGAATTGATGGGATTATTACCATAGGCCTATGGGCTTGATTAATATTAAGGGTGCAGAGCCTGGAATGTCTATCGCAACACCAATAAAATGAATTGTCAGACCTTTTATGCTCCTTAACGTCGTCAGGTGTGTAAAAATAAAAGATATGCCAATGATAATATACGCATCACTTTTTTTCCCAAATATTTTATTACTAGATGGTTTTGCATGTATAATATATGCAATACTATGAACTATTGTTTCACACAATGCTCCCAAACGCAAAAAATATCGGCCCGTGTGCACAAAAAAAAATTGCACGAGATGCACATGAAAAACCCAATATTCACGTGCAGCATTGTGTGTGAGCCCTTTAAAAGCATGTTTTCAACTTAATGTGCAGTACATGAACTGTGAAACGTCAATCTGTCGTAATTTGTTGTTGGACGTGTGAAGGAATCGAGCTAGAGATGCCGAGACTTAATGAAAATCAACGGAATGAAGCCATGGGAATGTCCAGGGCAGTCATGTCTACACGTGCTATTGCCAGACAATTCAATTGTCATCAGTCCACTATTGTAAGGTTGGTGGAACGTGTTCGAGTTCGAACGTGGACCAACACGTGACCGTCAACGTCCTGGTCCACAACGCGTTACAACCCAGGCTCAAGACCGCTACATCCGGGTCACTCATCTGCGTGACAGATTCCGCCCAGCGACTCGAACAGGTGCAGCAGTCGTCGGAAGACAAGGACCAGTAAGTGCCAACACCGTAAGACGTCGTCTAAGAGAAGTAGGACTCCGTGCACGACGACCTTATGTTGGAGCTATCCTCAGGGGTCACCACCGTCAGCGGCGTTTGATATGGGCTCAAGGACACCAGACATGGAGAAGAGTAGACTGGCAAAGTGTGCTCTTCAGTGATGAGAGTCGCTTTCATCTTTATCACGCTGATGTGGCTGCTAACAACATCAATGTCTTGGGGAACATCTTGCAGACTGCTGCGTCTTCGAAACGAATCGATGCGGTGGGGGGAGTGTAATGGTGTGGGGGGGGGGGCCTTCACATTTCATCACCGGACCGCCCTACACATTTGCAGGGGTCGCGTTAATGCTAGCTACCGTGATGATGTCTTGCAACCAATTGTTGTTCCGATGTTTCGAGCGCACCCACAACTTCAGCACTTCCAACAGGATAATGCACGTCCGCATACCGCCCGTTTTAGTATGGACTACCTGGCTGCTAACAATATCAAGGTCTTGGATTGGCCAGCAATGTCTCCGGACATGGCACCGATAGAACATGCCTGGGATGAGATTGGACGCCGTCTGTATCGGAGACCACAGATGCACACAATTGCTGCTTTACAAGCTGCTCTTGTCCAAGAATGGAACAATTTGCCCCAGCGTGCGTAAGAGCCCGTGGAGGACACACGCGCTACTGACATCTGTGTCGTACTTTTGGTTTTGACCCCTCTGACTTTGTACCGTTGATTACAGATTAAACATCCATAAGTGTACAAATGTGTTGTTATTGATGTGTTCCCATTTGAATATTGTTCATTCAAGCAAAATAAATAAGATATGTTTACAGGATCATTTTGTTATACGAAAAACTAAGTGATGCGTTTTCCATGGCGCTCAGTATATATAATATAAAGAAGACGGTGTGTGAATTTACGTATGTATAACACCAACGCTAAATATATGGTTGGTGTAATTGATTATTTTTACATTTGGATCGTACGTAACCTTTGTTTACCAGAAGCCTTAAGGGTGTTTCACTGATATCCTCTCACCAAGATAAATCTAGAAATATCAGATAACTATATATATATATATATAATGGTCTCGTGACGGATAGGCGTACGGGCTCGATGAATGATAGATGGGAGAGGGGCGGCAAGACCAGGGGCTAAGTGAGATGGACGCAATGACGCGCTTTGCGTCATGTTTTTGAGCTTTTGCGCCCCCTCGCATATGGCAAAAATCATAATCATAACGCTTAACCAGTATCAAACATATAGCGTGGTCAGATATGCTACAAATCGACTCTAGCATATTTCACACGGCCCAATAGTACACCTTCCTGCAAACTCATATAAATACTGCTTTTTGTGGGACCCGGACGGGATCTTGTTCTTCATGTAAAATCATGGGTCACCATGCCCCTGGGCAGAACCTGATATGCCCGAAACAATTTCGGGTTACAGAAGATGATGACCAACGACGAGCTTTTTAACCGAAGCAACTCCGATATAGGCTATTGGAGCTGGAATTGCCGCGGCTGCTGGCACCAGGCTTGCCCCTCCAATAGCTCCTCGCACACTCTTTTAAATTGCGCTCATTCTTGCGAAGTAATATAAGATTAAAATGTTTACATGTAAGTTTAAGATAATGTAAATAGATAATTTGAAGAATCTTTATTGCCGAAAGTTGGTTCCATCCTATTTGGGAACTGGTTATATTTTTTAGAGTTTCTGGTGGATTTCGGTTGAAAATTAGGACATCAATGCGCAAGATAAGTATGTAAACTGGCACGGTGTGCGAGAAAACACCAAGTCAAATTTCACATTTTGAAAACTGTATAACTTGGCCCCATTTATTAAAAAAAAAAAAACATAGGTAATAAACGCCCTTCAAGATAGTTTAGCTCTTTGTGGATAAAACGGATTAGAATCTACATGTTCAAAAAACTTTATATATAGGGCTAGACATGCCGGTAGTTTTAATTAATGTGTTCAAATGAATAAGGGGTGGTGCGGTTCTATTCACAAAATGTAGGTTATTCCCCTTGTTGTTCTTCAGTCACGGAAGATGAAAACGGTGTACCGGTATTATTGAAATGGCCGTCAAATGGATATTTTCTAATATTTAAAACGAATTATAGGACAACAATATTATTGAGTTAAACAATGGACAGAAATAAAGCTCCTCCTGGGAAGCGACCTCTCAAAGGAAAAGGTAATGTCATTTTGCTTAAACAAACAGTTACGACTCAATGGCAAGCTATAGAAAGCTAACAATACTAGTTTGTGTTTGATTACTCTTGACTGATTCGCGAATTTAGTTATCAAGTCATTTCGTCTTAAAGTATTTTAATAAATATTATTAAAAGTTCCTTTAGCTAGTCCTGTGAGTCTCAATGACTCAGTCCTTAATGATGCATATCTTTTAAAACGTTCAAGATGTCTTCATTTAACTACTATGTAGTAATTTAATGTATCCACTGTTTTCTTCAATTTCTTATGACTTATGATGTCTTTTCAAAAGGCTAGTTTGCCAATTTTGCTAAATTAGAATTTTCTCACATTTAAAGGAGCTAAATCACTACTATTTGGGACCTAGAAATTGACACAAACGGGTCCCAACGCATGTAATAATGTCAAATGAATGTATAAACTGATTTACATTCAATCGTTTCTGTTTACATTCATTCAGTTATGTTTGGCAAAATATGCCAGCTGGTTATTCCAGTGTACACCAATGTTGCGCATGCTCTCCAGATAAGAATATGGCGTCACTATTTGACATGACTTGTGGAATATGTCTAGCCTTGTTCTTCAAGTCCCTTGTTACATATCCGCTGAAACGCATTATGGTACACGTTTCGTGTACCAATGGTATAATGTCTATTTTGTTTTAGATATCATAAACCCATCTGTTCCCGGTAAGATCACAGCATCAATGTTGATTTAAATTGACAAATAATTTGTGTTTTCGATGTCAAAGACTTTGGATGATATTGATCGAGTTATTAAGAGACTTAGCTACTTTAATTTAAAGATATGGCTCTATTCTTTGATATCTTAAAATAGATGAAAATGGGCCTAAAGCACATATTAATGTAATACGAATGTCTACAAAGTGATTTATATTCAGTTTTTCAATTTTTATTGTAATTTCTAATCAATTATGTTCCATGAAATAAGTGAAACGTCCAAATTGAATGGCAGTCGTTTACACTTGCTAAGATATAATTTTATTATTATTTTGTCGTTTGTGAATCACCCATTACTATGATGGTCTTAATTGATGTAATATAATGTATTATTTTCAGGGCATTTACCATCTGGAGAATTTGTTGCCTTAGGTAAAACTTCTGGAGCTACTGAGGTCAGGCGATCAACTAGCCCTCAGCCCATTGGACGAAAAATCCAGTCAAACGAACGTAAAAGAGAAGCACCCAGTAGCTCTTTATCGGGGACAAGTAAAAAACCCAAATTATCACCACAGACATTTACACCTCTTGGACGATCAGATTCAGATAAACGAAGTTCTCCAGCACCTGTTGTTCATCAATATGAAGAATCGGCCATTGATGGTAATATTTAAACATACATTATGCAAGAGTTAAATCTGCCTATTGTAGGTTTTTCTTTAGGCCTGAAATGTTATCTGCATTATTAATTGGACTTTAAATTAACTTATCCAGACCATAATCAACTCTTGATGCCAGCGCTAGTCTCCAATATTTAGCAGATTGGAATAGATTTTTTGAAAGATAATTACTACTATACAATGTAATCTGATCTACTTTCTGTGACAGTTATATTCTGCCAGTGAGAATTCTGTTTACACCAAAATATGCTCGATACGATCTAAACATTGGCTTTGAAGAAAATATCTGTCCTATTACCATCAATAGATGTGATTCAAGTATGTATCTTTGTGTCACTGTATCTTACTTACTGCCATATTTTTTTTATTTTTGTAGTAAATTCTGGAGATCTATATAATGAGATAGTAGAAGCTGAAATTGATGGTGATGATGAGCGGGTAGAGGGTTTATTATGTGGTGCTGTAAAACATCTGAAAACAAATCGTTCTAAACCAGATCAGATTATATACCTCACTACAATGTATCTGGCCAAAACTAAATCAGCTTTATTCTGTAGTGAAGTTGTTATAGATGTAAGAATCTTTGATTTATGTTTATTTTTGTCATGTATTATTTAAAACAATAATTATATATCTCTCGACTGTATAAGTATGTGCAGGTGCAGGATGGAAGGCCTGGAAGGGGACATTGTAGCTAGTTGTTTGGATGATATGAAGAAAAACCGAGGTCCTATATTGGTCTGTATTGTGTATGTAAAGAACCCTTGACAGTTGGTAAAACTGCCCTTGTAATTAACACACTGCATGGTTTATGCCATTTCTCTAATTCCTGATGGTGCAGAATAGTAGGACAGTGTGATATTATTTTGGCACTATTTCAACTTTTTACATAATGTATTTTTAAGAAATGAATTGAAAAAAAAAAGTCCTCAAATAGTAAGTGCAGGGAGACTGCACCACACACTAACAGTTACACAAGACAAATTTACAGACAAGACACAATATTTAGATATCACAAACAAACGTACATATCAGATTTCATGAATTGGTCCGGGGGCTAGCGATAGGCGTCCACTGCTCTATACAGTCCTTGCCCCTGTAGTGATACAGACTTCACTCAAAAATGAAAACTAATAATACTGGACCACAATTTCATAAAAATCTTAAAGTTTGAACCTCCCTTCATTCACCAGGAGAGCCGAACCTGCCTCAACATATATACTTTTACAACCTCCACACTTATTTGGCATCATTTCAATGGGTGTATATTGTGGCTTTTGCCCTGCTACACACCCACCCTACTTTATCACTGATCACATTTTAATATCTCTACAAAATTATATTTCAGGCATTTTGCAGTTTATTGAAAAGAGATATGTCTATCAACTTTAAGTCGAAAGGCAATCCACTGGTTTCAGTTTTTGCGTGCAATGTTTTACTGTCAGCTTTTGCTGAAGAAGAAAATTGGCCAGATAATTTTGTCAAGGTATGTAGTTTTGCTGGCATTATGTATCTTTTAGTATCAATTTATGTACTTTTTCACTTATCTTGTTCTTCTTCTTTGGGTTGATGAAACTGTGCATGATAGTTCCTTGGACAATTGTACATCGTTTGACAGACTTGAAATTTTGAGATATGACGTCACAAAATGGCTGTGATGACATCATTCTAGACTCTTGGGCACTTGTGTTATTTAGTATTTTCCATATTTTGATTATAGGTTTATGTGGAAGATTCACTAGGTGAAAGAGTCTGGGTTGATAGAGATGATTGTAAAAGTTTTGTCGATAACATCCAGACAGCCTTTGGTACAAAGATTCCACCTAAGAATTTATTGGTCGGTTCAGGTGATTCTAAAGAACAAACCAGCCCCTGTAAGAATTTGTTTTGATCTATTTAAAAAGTAGTTGAAATGCTAACAGTCATGTAAAGATTATTATCAATGCCAAATGAATGAAAAAAATACATATTTAATAGATTTTTTTTATTGAGTTTGTAATGTTGTTGAGCTAGCGATAATATAGTGCAATTATTTTATGTTACTTATGCTAGTATATTTTGTCCTGTTAGATAAGGCACTATAAGTTGATGTTAAATGGCATTATGATTTATTATATACAAAGATCTGTAGCAAACTGATGTTATAGTGTCAAAAGTATGATGTTATTTACAGCAAGTCCTCATGTCAATCTATTTGAAGATGAAGATACATCTAAAGGATCAGAAGGTGGTGACAGTATTAAAAGTAATATGTCTGAAGATACCACACCTGTCTTTCAACGGTTAGTTTTCAGTTTGGCTCAGAAATTTAAAATTTGTATTCCCTTTTACTTTCCCTTGTTTGGCCTTATGTGTATTCCCTTTTTTTCCCCTTCTCTTTGCACTATTTTTAAGTGGGATTAGGCAATACCCTTAAAATGCCAGAACTTTTCTTAGTTACTAAGCAAGCAAGATTTATATGGCGTGGAGAGAAATCATAGCTTATGGTCCTCCTGCTCTTGCTATTAGACCTCCTGTCCTTTTCAGATATTTTTCATCAATAGTTGCAGACCTAAATATTGTACAAATATTAGAAAGCATGTCTACACAACCAGGAAAATTATTTTTGTTACCAAAACAATTATCTGTCCAAATTTAACTCAAAGACCATAATATGTACAAGTTTTTTTCATTACCTAATGATTTGAGGAATACATGTACAAGGTATCAACAGCAATCTTTTTGAGATTGACACGTTGTAATAATTTACTTCTTTAATTAATTGCTGACGTCGTATAATTTTGCTTTTTCTGGTTATTACAAACGACATACTTTCGGGTGAAATTGTGTTTTCGAGGCGAAACACAGTTATAGTATAGTCATACCTGTGAAAATATATTCTGTTATCACTGATTTTATTCATTTATTAATTATTTTTTTCTAGATATCCATATCAGCAGGAACATATTGAGTCCTATATATTAGATTTAATCCGTGAACAATTAAATCGTAGACAACCCATGGATTCTACGGCAAGAAATTTAATACGATTAATGTCAGCTACATGTGGTTATAGTGAAGTCAGAACAATGGCCAGTCAAAGATTAGAAATGTGGCTACAAAATCCTAAAGTAAGATGTGTAAAAGATCATGTTAATGTCTTAGTTGTGAATGAAAATACTTCATATTGATTAAATGAGAGAGTGGAATTTCAGGAATTAATTAAATAAGAGAGTGGAATTTCAGGACACAGGTTTGACAACCATAAACAATTTGAAATAAATTCATTGGACTAAAGTCATATTTTATATACAGACAGCATTAATATAAATAGTAATATTATGAGATTGTAATGAATGTTCAACCAATATGACTTTCACCCCTCGTTGAGTAACTTTCCTATTACCAGTATGCTACAGGCAGAATACACTCAATTTCATGACATAAAAGCACCAATGTGAATTGTATTTTACAGTTTCAGATACCAATAATAAATCAGGTTATAAAATTGCTGACATTATTGTTAAAATGTTTTTGTTATTTATTTTATTAGATTTTTGAATGTTATGTTTTAAAAAAAATATTTGAAGTTTCGTGTATATGTTAGCTATTTATGTACACTTTTAGAAGTGCATACAGTAAATGTTTGAACTCTTGTCATAATGCTATTACTCCCACTTGAATATTTTATTTTATAGAAAAAGGGTGTCAGTATAAGATAAAATGAAATTTATAAGACAGTGATAAAAAGGTTGTGTTTAGCTGACTCTTAAAGAACGCATGAAATATGTTATTAATAAAATGAAATGGTGTTTGTAAGGTTCTACTGTTGTGCACCAATGAAGACGGGTTATTAATGTAAATAACACCTTCAAAAGGAACATATTTTGTTCTCACAAAAATTAATGAAATCTGACTTTTTAGGAATACATCTAATATCTGAATTTATTTGTGTGAGTGTCATGTATGAGTTATATATGATATGTATTTTTATTACAGTTAGCGAGAACATCGCAGGATTTGTTGATGTCAGTTTGTATGAACTGTGTCAATCATGATAAAACTGATCTAGAAGTTATCGCACAGTTGATTAAAATACGTCTTAAAACTAAACCACTGATTAACCATTATTTAAACTGCATGAGGTAAGATTTACAATCAGAATATCAAAATAATGAAATAAGTTTTAAATTTACTCTTTCAATTGTAATAATAAACTAGTTATATGTATGAGCCCAGTCCGTTTCCACCAGACATCTTTTGGCCATCATCAAGTTTTAGCAACTTAGGATTCCTCTCCTCACTCCTGATGGGTTCAGTAAAAGCTGATGGAGATGTGCCTTGAGAGGTGTGTATTCAGGGTTATTTAAAGAATATCCATTAACAGACACTATAACATTGATCAGTTTTGCTTGAATTTGGCCAAAATAATATAATTCTGCTGTTGTATGTTGTACATATATAGAAGGAAAAGCATATGATTTGGATTGTTGTATAGTTTTTTTGTTTTTTTTAATGCTTACCTCAAAAATGTCCACAAATGATATGTAAAGGACAGAACTGAGAAACATGAATGATGTTGTGAGTTTCTAATTTCAGGGAATTATTATCTGGTCATCCGGAGAACTTAAAGATGATCTTAACGCACACAATTTATAATGAGCTGTCTAACGCTCGTAACCCTAATAACATGGCCTTATTAGGAGTTATATTCACATCATCTACAGAGCAAGCATCAAAGGTTTGTACTGATTCTTTTATTCTGACTTGAATAAATCATTAATTTCTAAATCTCAACTCCACACTATAAATCCCTTAAACAACTTCTAATGCCATAAGTTAATGGAAAGTTACATTATTATTTCAGATTTTAGCAGAGATTTTCCAGGATTTGTTAACCAATAAAGATGATTATTTAAGAGCTTTACGAGCACTTTTCCGTGAAATTATTCGGTCTTTACGACATGAGTTTAGTTTTCCAGCATTCTGCTTAAGTTTGATGTCAGAGCGAACTGAAGCCAAGTTCAGTGAGATAGACATGGTGAGAGAGACTTTAGTAAAAGGTTATACTGCATAGAAGGGGGTTTGTGTGAACTTAATGTCAATAGTGTTTCACTACCTGTTATCATTATGCTTAAATAAATATATAACACTGTGTTAAAATAAACATATACCATGTATAAAAATCAAGATATTAAGATATATACATATAATTATGGTGAAATAATCATATACTTTAATGACCTAGATGTGTTAAGTGATGTTTAAACACAAATTCTCCTTTTCGTAGTACATACTTTTATTTACTTTCAGGAGCGCTATGTGATGTCAATAACAGATTTAATAACACTGTCTATATTATTAGGCATATCACCTGCTATAAGAGAGGCTGTGTCTGCTGTGGCAAGAGGAGATAACAAAGGTACTTTATTTCCCATAAAATATTTAAAACTCCAAACATGGAAGAATAAGTCATTTCATATTTACATCGGCTTCACTTTTACATGACTATTTTTTTTTGTCTAAGACAAAAATATAATAATAATTCTTTTAGTTTTTGTACAAGACAAGCAATTTTGGATGTTCTTAATTGCGTGATACAGTCATTACAATAGCCTACATATTTTGGACTTTTCATATGGGAATGAACTAGATTGTTATTCCCGCCCCTAAACCAGTTATTTATTTTTTATGCATGTTTTAATTTTATGGTGTATGATGGGTTGTTGAATTTCTATATAATTTTGCAGACTTAGAAATTCTGCAGACATATAAAAATCAAGTGGCTGTAATACAGAGAGATAGTGTCTGGTGGTTACATACAGTTGTGCCGAAATTACTGGAAGGGAAACCCACAGAATATGTTCATTGGTAAGATATGATATGACTGAAACCACTTTGTACCTTTATACCTCAGATATTGTGAGCATATGGAACAATCTATTTGAAGACGATAATAATCTTTGAATGGCATTAAGTAACTGGATAGAGTAAAAACAAAACACAAACAAATGGAAAACAGCTACTGTTGTATTTAAGGCGAAGTTTCGAAGAGTATTCTCTCAACGTTATCAAGTTACATGTTTTATTGTACTCTATCTGAAATTGTATATCTTTATATCGTTTTGTTTTTATGATTCTGATTTTCTTACATAGAATGACCAATCTGTGGTCGGCTACGTTTTTGCACATGCTTAGATCATTGAACGATGTCTTGGTTTGATTGGAGCGGATGCACAGTTTCATTTTCTGTTTAAATAAAGTACATGAAACTAAGAACACATTGATGAAATTTATCACATGTAAAGTAAAATTGAGTTTGGTAAAATATGAAATATGGACTATTATACTATTGAGGAAAACGAAAAAAGAATTATAGACTATTTGGCTTTTTTTGCATTCAGAATAATACAAATTATTTGTTGTGTTTTGTTAAACCTCAGCTTACTTCTGTTGTTCACTATTTCATATGATATCAAACAGAAGTTTAACCAAATGGTGTAACACAATGTGCGGATTGATTTAGTTGTGCAATCTGTAAATGTTTCTGGTATACTCCATTCATCTTTGTCAAAGCCAAGGGTTTTGTGACTAGGAAAGCTGTGAAATGGATGTAAAATATTACACTGAATATTACTCAACAATTAAGCAGGAAATCTGTATATGTCACTCCATTATATTTCACTTCTATATTTTTTCAGTTTGCATAAAGTTCTGTTTATGGAAACACCTGAACATTATTATAACAAAGATAACTGGCCACCAGAAGGTGATAGAAGGTGTGTAATCTTTAATATAAGTATACTATTTCTTTATAAGGGTAACACTCTGTACTTGTTAACAGAAAAGTGATGTATTATATAAGCATGACGTTTCGACAAATAACCACATGTCATTGTCAAGGTTAATTGTCAAACCATCATGCTTATATTATTATAACAAATAATTGTTTCTCATTATAAAAATGTCTTCTGTTAATGTATTTCTCAATTAATAAAGGATTCTGTAGTTGTTATTTATTAGATTGAAGACAATTCAGTTTGAATATTGTTATCTTTACTCATGTAGGTTATGAATACAAAATATTATAGATCTCCCTAAACTAAATCTGTGTTGAGAAAAATGATATTGAGTATGTCAATCAAACAAATTCAATGTTTTTTTTAGATTATTTCATTCTCTGAAGTAATAAGATTAGAATGTTATCTGCGATATCACTCCGATGGAAGCCAACATTAAATAGAAAGTTTATAATTCTATTTTATAGTTTAATGTTACGCTTAGCGACAGAAGTACCCGTACTGGAAGACACATTAATGAGGGTACTGGTGATTGGTTTGTCAAGAGAATTACAATTTAGTGCTGCAGATGCTGTAGAATTAGCTGACCAACTTATTAAACGTGCTGCTAGTCTATATCATGAATGTAAATATATCATTATTTCACTTTATTTTTTGTTTGTTTGAAATATGTGAAGTAGGTGAGGTGGCAGGCTATGCAGATTTTTATCAGATATTAATTAAAATATCCGTATTTCACATGCTGGTCTAGTCTCCACTATTCACGGAAGGCCAATAGCAATTTTTAGTATCTTAATTTGACAAAAATAATGGCTGAAGCAAATGTTATTTGGTTCTGTAGTATTTGATGAATCTATGAAAACAAAATGTAGCTTGTTGGCAGATACTATATCTGATACTTTTATGGGGTTTGGGTTTTTTTTTACAATGTTATTGTTATTTCCACTACATCAGCCCATTCTGTTGTATTGTATTTTTTAGTTGGAATGGAAGTATTGCAAGTTGAGAGATTAGAATTAATAGATGCCTTGTTAAATCTGTGTACTTATAGATACCCAGAAAATATAACACTACCTAAAGGGTTAGTATACTTAAGGATATCAACACATATCATTTCGACAAAAGATGAGACCTGCCCCAAAAAAGTTTCAGAATTATCAAGCCTTGTTCAAACTGACGACAATGACAAGCATGTTTATATATTCTAAGACGATAATTCTAGAACAAATATGCATTCTAAAGACCACCCTCGGTATTCCCAGTGGTATCATTTCGTTCTACTCCGCTAAACCCTGGGTCCATTCATGGGGGAGAAACATGGTCAAATTATCCGCCCTTGATAATTGTTCTGTTTTTATCGACCATTCCAAAAATTCCATAAACATAAAGCTAGTGGACAAAGGGAGGTAATTCGCATAGTGTTGTAAACTTTGTCAAAAACACTTTAGGAACATCTTTTTGTGCATATGTCACTTCTTTGATATTAAGGACGGCTGAGTTTGAATTTCGTGAAAATCGGCCCAAAACTGACAGACAAATTGGCCGCCCTTCGTTCTCAAATAGCCCAAAAAATATGGTATATCAAGGTTGTGGACCCTATAGAGGTCACAATTTTTATCTGATTTTGTTGAAACTTGAAATGTAAGTTTATAACGCAAAGATCTCAGTTCCTTTCGAAATTTGCGCATATCGAATTGTAATTTCCTGAATTATGGCCCTTGATTGTAGGAAAAATCACTTTCTTTTTAGCTCGTTCTCCATCCATCTCTCGAAAATGTGGGCGTATCCTGTCTGGCAGCCGCTGGTTAGTTCCTCTAAGACCTACATGTGTTAACTGGAGATTGATAACTCTTTCTCTGTCAGATTTAAATTTGATTTTCTTATTTACAATTGTATTCTATCTACTTTTAACATATCGTTATGTTTTGTTTCTTTATTTAGATATACTCCACCTAATCTAGCAATATCTGCATTATATTGGAAAGGATGGTTAATGTTACTTACCTTAGCGGCTTATAATCCGAGTACATTTGGTATGTGTATACATTTATTTTCTAACTTATATTTGATTAAATTTTATCAGTGTGTCAAAGTACTACATATAAATCTGACAATATTCAAAGTTTTGCCAAATATATGTGGGGGGGTTGGATGGCTGAATGGTTAGCGTGCGCGCGCTGTATCATAAAGTCTGTCATTGAGTCGACTGGCGTGGTTTCGAATCCTCAGTTGTACGTGACAAGGGGTAGGGTCGCCTGTCCAACCTCGTGGGTTTTCTCCGGGTCCTCCGGTTTCCTCCCACTGCTAAAGACCCCTACGCGCAAGCGAATTATGTAAATAAAATTAAACCATATGTTAGTTCCGAAATGACCTTGTTTGTGTCGAGTGGACGTTAAACCCCATTTCTCTCTCTCTCTCCAAATATATGTCTCTCAATCATTGACTGTTTGAAAACTTGAGGTCTTGATGTGTAACTGCAGGATTATTTTTATAACATTAACAAAATGGTTATAATTTTTTTTTTTGTAGGTGTTGCTGCTTGGGATAATTATTCTACATTAAAATTAATGATGGAGATGGTGATGACGAAGTAAGTTTGAAAAATATTTTCTCATTTCATAAACTATCTCAATATAATATATTTTATATGATCACTATAGGATGTGAACGTTGCTCTGGATGTGTCCTTCGACCATGTAGACAACTAGGACAGTGAAGGCCAAGCTACTCAACAAACATTATACAAACAGTATGTGTACACAATGTTTATATATTTCAGTAATTATAAATTTCCTCCACCAACGACAGCAACAGATGAAAAACTGATAGATGATATTAAAGCTAGAGAAAGACAGGTAGTACATCTACATGTAAAATTGACTTTTATTGCCAGATGTTTCAGTCACTAGCTAGTCAGAAAATGTGGATACCATTGGATATAATGGCGAATCACTTAATCGAGTTTGAAAAAGCTAAAATAGGCTCTGTAGGTTTTGTTATTAATCAACTGGATATGTCCTGTCAATAGATATTCCATTCTACTATACTAAACTCATTATTATACTATGGATTAAGGGGGGATCGACAACACTCTATTTTAAAGAGTCAAAGATGTTAGTCAAACCAATTAGGTCTGGAACATAAAATGATGCAGGTGATGAGAGTATAAATATGAGGATAGTGTAGTCCACGCTCAATAGAACTGGTACATGAGTAAAATAAAGCAGGAGTTTAATACAACTCTGTGTCTTACAAATTATCTTCATCTTTATTATACTTTTATATATACCATTTCAAAGTTTATAATTAGGACTTTTATAACAACTGGATATCATGGATTCTTAACTTGAAGCATATTTTTCATATTTTGTAGATAAATCAGAAAGAGATCCAAGAGATATTAGAGTTTGAGACACATTTAGCTGCTGCTACAAGTAAAGTTACAATAACAGAAGCTAATAGTTTATTAGTGGATCAGCTTACTACTATGGACCCTGGGTAATATACTCATTTCATTTCATTTTGTCTGCATGTGTGAAAGACTAAAAATGTAGGTCACTGCCTCAGAAATCTACTATTTTCATCACCTACGTCAACATCCTTGATTGATTTTTAAAAACTGCAAATACAATTTTATTCATTTTTGTGCACTTAATTAATGATAACTAGAAACCTGAATTTGAAAGGACCAAACGTTTTGTAATGTAGACATTATTTTAAAAAAATATTTTATTTTATTTGTTTCTTGAGTATGTCACAGCAGGTCCCAGGTTATATCCCAGGGATCGTCTTCATTAGCCCAGTTGCCCATCTTCATTAGCCCAGGTGATTCAGAAAAACAACGTGTTAAATGATATTTCATTTATTTGTTGTTTTTTTTAGTGGAGTAGCAAGATGTCCACCAGCTAAAGTATTAGACCAGTTACAAGTGTTAAACATGTCGTTAAAGATTGGACAGATGTTGTGTAGAAATCGTAATCCTGATTTTCTTCTAGATGTTATACAGAGACAGGTAATTAATATACTCTTCCCTCTAATATATAGATAGAACTCAATGACCATTGAATATCGCTCAAAGAATGCTTGCGCAAGGATACACTCTCTTGAATCATTGAATAACCTGAGCGGTATTCAATGGTTATTGAGTTCTGTTTTTCTTCTATAGCTAAATGCAAATCTCAAAATACATTGTGCTATGCAGATTATCAAAAAAAAAAAATCATCATAGATTCTGCCCTTTTTTTTTTACAAAAATTGTGGTTGCCTAGTGGTGACGTCATTAAGGTTTGACGTAATTCTGAAAGTGACGTCATTCTGGACCAAAGTAGTATGTGTCCAAGGCATTGAATACAACCATAGGTTATCAATGGCTGTATTCAATGATATTTGTGTAACAAAGTACTCTATGACTTTCATCAAATTAAACGACCATTTAGGTGCTTAGAACTTTATGACCTCAGTTGATTTTTGAAAATATATGATATTGACTTTTCAACTCTGTATTAACTTCTCTTAAGGCACAGACTGGCTATGATCTAATTAAACATGTAATTAAACCCATACATACATATGATCTGTGCACACGCTCCGCATTACTTCAAAGGAATACGAACTGGTCAGTAAGCATACCATGACGAGATAAAAGAGACAATTGCATATATGATCATGAGTTATCTATTGTCCGAGGGTATATAATGACGAGTTCACTGACAGTGAAATAAGACAACTAAAGACGACTAGAGAGCAGGAGAAACGCGCAGGGAGACGGAGAGACCGGCGTATGGACTCACCTGAGTTCAGCCGCTGCCTTGGCAGAAGGGCAGAATGGTGGATTTCATATAGTTATATGTGTTCCTGTCATAGTCTAGTTCCTGTTTATTAGTTTAAGTTCCTGTATCATGTTGTATGTATGTAACTGTAGCTGTTTTATATACCTGATGTAAATAAATCCTATATTTATGAAACTGATCTCTGTTATCACTAAGATAGTGTTACAGTGATCTGTTATGTACTTTGTTACATTTGCTTGTATTTGCATGTAGATTGTAATTGAGATTATTAAAACAAATGATCTATTGTTTGTCAGTATTGATCAAATATTTCTAAAATCAACACAACTGTTTTGAAGATGACAGTTTAAATCAAAGAAACTAATGTAAACTTCAAATGGCCATATCTTGATGTCCCTTTAAAGTTGTTATACCTTATGTTATTCTGAGCCGGTTGTATCTAGTTTATATACAATGACTTTAATGTTTTTTTCATATATCAAGGGTACGTCACAATCTATGCCTTGGTTAGCCGAGTTAGTTGAGTCTAGCGAAGGTTCATTAGATGTATTACCTATACAATGTCTGTGTGAATTTTTACTACATGAAACAGAAGAAGAAGAGAATAAAATTGATATTCTCGATGAAGATTCTCAAAAAGCTGATAAATATAGAAAAAAACAGGTAATGTTATATTATACAGTGTCAGTAAAGTACTCTTAATGTTTGCAAAACACTATATTAATGCTATTTTCCCCTTGTTGTAGGCTCCTCATGAAAATCCTTTTAATAATATTATTGTTTATCATCTGATCCCCACACAAAATAGTTTTAAAATTGGTGACAATCTCAGTCTGTTCATACATAAACTAATTATAATTTGACCATCATTTATTTTGAATCTGAATAAACCCCAAACAATGCCAAGTTTTGAAAATACCAATTCATGTTCTAAATGTTGTTGTTTGGGTTTGGAAATTAATGGGAACTACCGGCATGGTAACCATGGAGATGACACATCACGATTCTAGTTGATCAAGTTGGCAACTCTAGTATCTATATACATCGTCTATAAACCAGAGGGTTTTATGTAAAAAAAAAAGATCAGTTATACTATAAATATTATGAATTATCTTATTCTCATCTTTATTTCTATACAGAAAAAACTAAAACAGAAGCAGTTATTGGGGCGATTACAGGCATTGGTTCATGGTAAAGTTTCTGATTCAAGGACTATGTTTGAAGTATTGGACTATTTTTTACAAAGATTGTCTTCCTCACAGTCATCTTCTAGAACTCAGGCAATTAAGGTAAAATACTCACATCTAGAATTTAGCCACACATCAGTCAGATAGAACAGTCTAGAATTTACCAATACCCTACAGTTAATCAAATGATCAGTTTTGAAAATAAGATAGTTTTATTAAATTCAATGTTATATACAGGATGTCCTGGACTTGTGGACTGGTAAGACTCTGGTTTTACTGAAAAATTAGTTTACTGGTAGACACAGATTTCCCAGTCGGAGCAAAAAAGTAGGATGTTAAACCCCATTTCATTTCCCACACAGATTTAAGAATTCAACATGATTTAAGGTTTTGACTGAAGATCTGTGAATATCTGTTGTTTCTGGTTTATTTTTAACAAGGCTAGATCAGAGTAGTCTTTAAAAATGATGCATTCATTTTGTTCAATTCAAATTAATGTACCTTAAAATACAGATGTGACGTCACCCTTTGATGTTGGCGTACCATTATTTCAAATAATCGTACGGGCAACTTGCCAATCGTACCTTGTCAAATATTAGACTCGAGTGACGTATTTCACTGTAAACGCACGTGCGGAGTGTCTGTATTTTAAGATGTTTAATGGTCTCGAGCTGAGACATTGCGTAATATATTGTAAAAACACTCGGACCTGACGGTCCTCTTGTTGTTACAATATATTACTTAATGTCTCGCTCTCGACCATTAAACAATACATATTCCTGGTTATGTAGCATTAAGAATTTAGGTGTTATCCATGGAATTGATTGTTTAAACATTTTTTATTTTATTTCATATTTTCAGGGCTTATCTATGGTGGTATCTAGGTCAGAACTAGATAAAGATGTTGCTATGGAAACTGACGAAGAGGAGACAACACACACCTGGTTGTTAAAACATTTACCATCTGTTCCATTGTTCCAGGAAGTGAAAGGGCAGACATGTTTAGCCCTCAGAAATGTAAGTCATTTGGTTTCTGGTTGTGGAGGTGTTTTTAACCACAATTTTGTATTTCGACAATTGTTAAATACTTTGCTTGAACTACAAGGCTTGTTTGATTCATGGAGCCACGGTGGCTAGGTAGCCTGGAGGTCGGGTGTTTGATCCCTGTATTGGCCAAGAAAGTTCATCCCGATTTTCCGACGTGGTTTCCCCTTGTCAGTGGTGCAGAAAGGAGGGCCTGACAAGGACAGCTGTCTAGTCCTTCAGATGAAACGAAAAACCGAGGTCCCGTGTATACATTGGAATGCACGTAAAAGATCCCTCGGCAGTTGGAATTCGATATAAGAGTAGGCGATAGTGCAGCTGCCCGGGCAAAATTTCCCTCATAGCACACTGTATGGCGTATGCCCGTCTTCATTAGCCCAGTATAGGAGCAGAACAGTAGGACGCTAAACCCCATTTCATTTCATTTCTTGTTTGATTCATCCTTTATATATGTTCATGCCTTACTTTGATATTTTGAAGAATCAGTAACTGAATTTAGAATTAGAAGCTAACTTCAAATAAATTCAATTCAAACATACCCTAGTATTCTTTATTCAGCGAAATGAAGATATATCCTAGTTATTACCAATCCTTTGTTTCTATTGAATACAATAGTTCAAGTATACCACAACAGAATATAATTTTAGTCATTTTGAAACTGTCATTAACATATTCTTCAATTTGTATTTTTTCAGGCTTGTCAAATAGAAACCAGTCCTAATTTAATCAGTGCTTACATTATCTTCCTGTCTCTTTATGCCATGGACCAATCACTACAAGATCTAGATAACCTTGCTCTGGTAAGACCTTTTTCAATGTTTAAATTTAGAAAGAAACCAATAAGCATTGCACATGGACAATTTCCACAAAATCAAGTAATGACAGTAAGTTGAACTTGCCGCATGAGAAATGACAAATCCATACATGAAGAGATATGTCTCCAAGAGTAGTCGATCCTGATTGTCAATATTTTGGATGATATCGGGTTTTCTTCTCAGCTGATAGTACTTTTGGAGGTTGTAGTTTGGAAGGGATTCATGATCATTCAAATGATGAACAGAGACTTTAATATTTGATATATTTAATTTTCATTTTATTCAGGATACAGCTCAATTAATTGTAGAAAGAACATCAATCATTAATCATATATTACCAGCGGAAGGTACAAAACGTACACCAATGGAAGAACAGACATTGACAGCACTGGTTAATCTATACATGACCTATTTAATCAAGGCTACAGAACAAGATAAAGAAGCTTATAATTGGGTAAGGTTTACTCGTACTTTTTGTGGATTGTAGCAGTCATGTGGTCACTGGATGACAGTTTATGAAGTTGGAGGGCTAAGCCTATGCCACTGATAATAACAATTTAATTTTTGACTCCAAAAAGAGTAATATATGCTGTAAGAGAAACTAAGTTAATGTGTCTTATTTTCAGTCTAATACGCAGGACCAGATAATATTACAGTGGGAGTCTGGAAGATCAGCCACCATGCATATATTAGCTGTACATGCTATGATTATATTACTGACGTATGGGGCACCTGATGGTAAGCTTTATATCTTTCATACAAAAAGTAACATAGTTGCAATTACTGTAGTAATTTATGCATACCCATAGAAATAAAAACTACAAATTGTTTGTCTCAAAATGATCAAAGTATTATGTTGATGAGACATTAAACCCTATTCCTTTTCCCATGAATGAGTCTTTTGACAAGATCAAATGTGGTTCTACTTTCAATTTGGTGGATGCTTATCTGTTTCAAGTACCAGTATAACTGTAGTTTTAATATTTTTTGTCATAACATAAGCTTATTTATATTTATTATTAATGACACAAACTTTTTACAAACTACACGATTTGATTTTGAAGCTTGCATTTTAACCGACTATAAAACATTTAATCTTTTCATTAGATGAATTGTTTGTTAAGAAATATGCGTTTCATTTTCATTTTAGCTGAGAATAATCGCTATGATGAATTTTTATCAATGTGGTTTCCTGAAAAAGGAAGTTTACCTACAGCCTTTCTCTTGGATACTTCTGAAGAGGCATTATTACTTCCTGATTGGCTAAAATTGAAGATGATTCGTTCAAGTGTTGACAGACTAGTGATGGCAGGTAAGGAATATTACGTTATGTTTTTGTGAAGTTGTTAAACTTTAATGATAATTTTTTAAAAATGGAAAAAAATGTATCTGACCAAGCCGGAAAGGCACTATTTTCTGTCTTACAAGTATCTAATTTTACTCAATAACCATGATCATTTTACTCAATCACCATGATCATTTTACTCAATCACCATAATCATCTTATAATTACTCAGTTACCATGATCATCTTACTCAATCACTATGATCATCTTACTCAATCGCCTTTTTTTCTTCTATGATTTTCAGCTCTAGAAGAACTAGAACCAGCCCAATTGTTGTTGTTTATTCAATCTTTTGGTATACCCGTTAGTAGTATGGGTAAATTATTACATTGTTTAGATCGCGCCATGGAGACAGATGCAGAGAGTTTACAACAAGCTGTAGTGGATAAAGCTTATATGGCTCAACTTATTGAGATACAACACATGCGCGGAGCAGAAGGAGGAGATAAATTCTACCAGTTATTGACTCAAACCAGTCCTAGAAAATCAGGTAAGGATCTTATAATTTATATATTTTCTGTTAAATCTGCATACCTGGTAGTCTTATCTCACAACTTTGTTACTTTTTGTAGGAGATCCCCGGTTCAATCCAGGTGTTGGCCAAGAAGTTCCTCGCAGTATTTCAGCATAGTTCTCCCCCTTGTTTCATACCTGACCATAAATTATTTGAACTGACAGAAATGAGGTGTTGAAAAGAAATCTAGGGATATAATTGTAATTATTTTATTTCCATTTATGTAGCAAAGAAAGCAAATGATGTCATGGAAAGTGAAGAAACTGGTAAACCATGGCTAATAAAAGCAGAAAGTTCTTCCAATCTTGTTTATGGTCCAACTGAATTAGTGCAGATTCTTTTACAGGTATGTGCTACATAGTCTAGTCAAATGTTACACAAAGGATTTTGTTTCATGTATAATGAATGTGTTAATCTAAAAGTTTTTGATGATACATGAAACAACATTTAGCACTATTGATATTGATATATTAATATATTAAAAACTGGATACATCCACAACCCAAATGGCATATATTTTGCATAAACTAGATTATTTTTAATTATAAACATGTTTTTTTTATATCTTTTTCCAGATATTTTCTGTACAGAAGTCTTCTGACCCGCAATCTGTTAGATTACTACAAGAACTAATTAAGGTTGGTGATTGACTAATGTTACATTTTAATTTAGTTTTATAATATCCAGCTTTAGATATATAAAAGTAACTTTGACAGTTTCAATAGTTGTTGGGCTTAGATTCCAATGCTTCAGTGGAGATTTTCAGACAGCAGTCATCTCACTGACCCTTTCTTTGAGTGTAATTTAATTGAAATTACAAAGAAGTTACCATCATATTAATTCATTTATTTAAATCTTCCCTTTCATATTTATAGACTATTTCAAGTGAAGGAAATAAGGCCATCGAACTGATACAAGTCATTTTAAAGGTATATTAGATTTTACTTGTAATTTTTACAGTTTATTTGTCTTCCCCTTTTCTTGTAACAAATAACGATCAATAAGTCAGAGATTTGACAAATCAAATGTCTAATATTTCTGGGTAATTGGTCCATCATTTTTCACAATATGTGGTCGCATATTGCCATTGCCCCAGTCTGCGGTCCGTCCGTCTTGTGTCCACAATTGCTAAAGTTAATATCAGATTGACTTTAAATTATACAGTGCTTAAGGCCATGAGACGAGGGAGCCTAGTGATTTTCAATGATTTCCGATAATTACTGCCAGATTTATGGACCTTGATCACTTTGATAAATCTTGCAGATGCTCTAGAGACCAAAGTTATCATCTGATTGACTTTAGATTGATACACAGAAGACGAACACGTACATGTGTATCGATTTTCAAAGAATTTTGATAACTTGAACAGTTAAATCCATGATTTTAAATGTTTCGTATACTAAACGTTAGCATGGGACAGAATTAAATGCCAAACAAATTCTAATGATTTTCTGATAATTACTTAATGAGTTGTTACTCTTAATCAGATTTTCGTTTATTATAAATGTTTCATTACCGACAATAGACAAAATATGCAACAACTCTTGTTGACTGCTCGGATGACTTAGCTGCTGTGGACGTATCTTTTGTTGTCTGGCTTCCTATCTGCAGATTTCACAGATTTTCTGTATAACAGGTTTTGATGTGTATCTTGATTTAAATTTGACCAATCACAAACTGCATATTATTAAATATCTTTAAATCAAGTAGAAGTTGAGTTAAGTTCCAAAAATACATTTGAAAGAAATTTTGATTAGATGGATGCATTGTTTGTTTCTATAATTTCTACATTTTATTCATTCACAGATTTTACAGTCGGCTAAAGGATCAGAATTCATGAATCAACTTTTTACTTTATCTACACGGTCTTGCCTGTTGTTTAAAATCATCATCTCAAAACTGGTAATGTACAATTACCTCTTTATTGATAAGCAAAATTTAAAACTAGATGATATTTAAAAATTCCAGCCCCTTTAGTGGAAGCAGATGTTAAATATATTCATTTACGTAATACATTCATATGCCTTGAAGAATTTTGTTTGATATGAGTGTATATTGTATACTAACGTTTGAAGTTTGGACATAAAACTTGGTTTCCATTTCATCATGGAAGGCCAGATTTATCTGATAAGATGACAAAAATTCAATGAATTGTTAATTTCATTGGATTAACACAGTAAACCCAAAGTTGAACTAAAATTTATATTTTCGGAACAAGGATTGAATCTTATGAAACTTGCCCCAACATATCAGATTGACCCAATCCTCTATAGGCCTATTATATTTTTACCTAAATCATAGAGGCTTAGCTCCTGTAAGGAACAGGTAAACCCTGAATATTGACCATAAACAGACAGTACTTTACATATACATATTAATGGCTTTCTGATATATGTAGGGGGGGGTGGATGGCCGAATGGTTAGAAAGTGCTTGCTGTATCATACGGCCTGTTATTGAGTCAACTGGCGTGGTTTCGAATCCCCGGTTGTACGTGACAAGGAGTAGGGTCGCCTGTCCAACCTCGTGGGTTTTCTCCGGGTCCTCCGGTTTCCTCCCACTGCTTAAGACCCCTACGAGCAAGCGAATTAATGAAATAAAATTAGCCGTATGTTAGTCCCGAAATGACCTAGTTTGTGTCGAGTGGACGTTAAACCCCATTTCTCTCTCTCTCTCTCTCTCTGATGTATGTATCTTTTTCTTTTATAGGGCAAAAAATCAGAAGCATTGAAAGACGTTCTACAAATATTGAAAGACTACTTCCAAGGTCAAAAGTCACCATTGATGTCTGTGATTGGTCAGTATTTTAAAGGTGAAAGGCCAGCCCAGGACCGGTCATCAACTTCTTCCACCAACCCAGATCTTTATAAAACAAAGAGAAAATTGGACACAAAAAAATTCATATCAGGTATGAAGATTTTACTCTTGAGCTCTCACTGCTTATCTCTAAGTGAACTACAAAATATTTATATGAGCATTATAAATTGAGCTGGTATTTTATTTGCAAGTGCGATTGTTCTGTCTATTCCATGATGCCAAGTTAATTATGTCTAACTATGTCGTGTTTGTAAAGATTCTCAGGTTTTGTGCTGTTACTGTAGAGCATGAATTTGCCCTCTATATATACTATTCAAAAAAAGTAGGGGATATTTGATTTTTAAGTGTTATTAAAGTCACCTAATGAAACTGACGAAGAAACAAATGACAAAATGAAATGAAGTTCACATTCATCGATTTATTCCAAATTATCGTTAGACTAAGTAAGGCACAGACTGACCATTATAAGGGTAAAATGATACCCGGGGTCAAACAGCAAAGTTACCACAGCATCACAACCAAGTCAGTAACGGGTAATTCCTCCTCTGTTTGCCAAACAAGCATTGATCCGACGTGGCATACTCCTAATGAGACGTCTAAGGTCATTTTGGTCCAGATTGTCCCATTCCTGTTGCAACGCAGCAGCAAGTTCTTGGACATTGGCAGGACGTTGTTGACGTTGACGTAACCTCTGTCCAAGCATGTCCCAGACATGCTCGATGGGGGAGAGGTCGGGACTCAGTGCTGGCCAAGGTAATGTGGTGATGTTCTGTTGTTGGAGGTAACCTGTAACGATCCTGGCCCTGTGACATCTTGCGTTGTCATCCTGGAAGATGAAACGGCGGCCATGACGTCGTGCGAACGGCACAACATGGACTGCCAAGATGTTGTCCCGGTAGTACTGGCCTGTAACACGCCCTGCAACAACATGTAAAGCCGTTCTTCCAGCAACAGTGATGCCTCCCCACACCATAACAGAACCACCCCCAAATCGATCATGTCTGATGACGTTAACGTCTTGGAAGCGCTCGTTTCGACGACGCCACTCCCTCCTACGTCTGTCCAAAAAATCAACAGTGAACCTTGACTCATCTGAAAACATCACATTGCTCCAGCGTCGATTATCCCAGTGTTGACGATCCCTACACCAACGCCGTCTTGCCTGAATGTGATGATCTCTCAAACAAGGGATCACGCGAGGACGTCGAGCGCGAAGGTGACCCCTATGCAGTCGATTCCGAATCGTCTGGCCACTCACTCTCACACCAGTGTCTGTTTGAAGACGAGCGCTGATCTGATTTGCTGTGATGACACGATTTCTCAAGGCCAAGGTACGGATAAATCGATCCTGGGCTTGAGTTGTCGCCCTTGGTCGACCTGAGCGTGGTCTGTCCTGTACAGATTGTGTATCACGGTATCTGGACCATAGCCTGCTTATGACAGACTGAGAAACATTCATCGTCCGCGCCACAACCGCCTGTGTTGTGCCGATCTGTAGCAGGCCAAGGACACGTAACCTTTCATTTTGGGTAAGCCGACGCATATCAAAATTTGTTTTCTGGTCACTAAAACAATTAAACTGATGTTTCCACCCTGGAATTCAATGCCACAATGACTGTAACATTCAAAGTCAGAGTCGTGCAAATCTTGGGTTGGACCCCCATGATGATCCCAAGCATCACCTGCATTCCATGCGGTAGCTATTGGTGCGTTTGGGCGTCACATGTAACTGGAAATGTTTCTTCTGTTAGGTTCTATAGTGACTTTTTTCGTAGTCATTTGCATATTTTAGTATTATGCCCCCAAAATCAAATATCCCCTACTTTTTTTGAATAGTATATTTGTCTCAAATTGTTTCAAGTATGGTGGTTGGACATTAAACCCCATTTCTCTGTTTCACAGGATTAGAGAAACTTAGTAATAGTGGTAGTATTAAACTAGAGAAACTTGTTGATAGTTGTATGACAGATACAATACAGTCATCATCATCTACATCATCATCATCATCTAATGCAGCCAACATGGCTACTGATATCATCTTATATTCACAACAAAGGTAAATATCATCTTTATTAATATTGTTGACATTCATTAGCTGAAGTCCACAGTTATTGTTAATAATACTGTAGAGAAAACATCTTATTAATCAAGACAACAATTCAGTTGCATACATTTTGGATAGAAATTTGCTGAGTTATGGCCCTTTGTTGCAAAATATTGTTAGCGCAATCCAGCTACAGTTTAAAATTATTAAGGGATGTTAAATCATTTTAAACGATCATTTAAATGTATTTTAGCCTGTACATCCATAGCAAGTCCCAGAATTTGCATTTAATTTATGATTTTGTTTATTAATATAGAAACACTATTTCGCAATCAGCAGCATCTCTACTCATTGATTGGCTAGAATTATTGGAACCAGAACTTATCCAATCAAATCCCACCTTGCAGCAAAAACTCATATTTGCTAAAGGTGTAACCAATGGAAAGTCTTGTACTAGAAAACAGAATCATCCATATTTATTGGCACTGTTGACACATCAAGGAAGCTGGAAAACTTTAAATAAATGTATAACTCAACTATTACAGTCACATGAAACAGAGTCAAGGTAGGGTATAAACAATTCGGTTAGATGGCCGAATGGTTAGTACGTGCGCGCTGTATCATAAAGCCAGTCATTGAGTAAACTGGCATGGTTTCGAATCCCCGGTTGTACGTGACAAGGAGTAGGGTCGCCTGTCTAGCCTTGTGGGTTTTCTCCGGGTCCTCCGGTTTCCTCCCACTGCTAAAGACCCCTACGCACAAGCAACTTATTGAAATAAAATTAAACCATATGTTACTCCCAAAATGACCTAGTTTGTGTCGAGTGGACGAGTGGATGTTAAACCCCATCTCTCTCTCTCTCTCTCTCTCTCTCTTTCTCTCTCTCTCTCTCTCCTTTGATTCATTTGAGGGTGGGTGGCCAAATGATCCAACAAGCAAATGTATATCATAAAGTATGCAAGTTCTGGGTTCAATCCCACTATTGTACGGACAACGAATATGATCACCTGTCAAACACACGTGCAAAAGCCAAAGCAAAACAGTATGTTAGTTCATAAAATGACCTAGTTAGTATGTTGTGGACTTAAGCCCCATTTCTGTCCCTCTCTGTTTTATTTTGAAGATAATAAAATATTGTTGCATTTAGTTGATGGACTAGTCTCCATATGTGGAGTAATAAAAAAAAGAAGGACCATATAATATTTGATAATTCCACTTTATTGTTTTTCTAGTTTTGATCCAACAGCTGTACTAGATTTTCTATGGGCTTGCTTACACATTCCAAAAATATGGCAGGGTAGAGAACAAAGTTCTAAAAGGGTAAGTCAATGTTTATATATGTAGAATGAAAATTGATAGTTCTATCATAAGATGTTTATAGAATATGCCTATAGTCCATGTATATGTAAATTGGTAGTTCGGAATATGAAGGAATTGAAATAACATTAAAGTCAATTGAGAACACTGTCCATCCCCGTTGATTTGATCCTGTCATTTTCTTTGTCAATTGTCCAAAGGGTCAGTAACTGTGAAACAGTCAGTTAAAAGGAGAATATGCTAGAATTAACAGTAAAATGTAGAATTTAAGACAGCCACACACAAACACACATTATGCTTAATAAGTAGAGACTGAATTTTATTGAAAAAGATCATTCCAAACAATCCTTCAAGTTGATCCTTATTTGTGTTTGATTTTTAAATAATGAAAATTTTTATTACCCTTCTGTTACTTGATTTAAACAATATTTCATTTACTGGCTACCAAAACAAGCTAATAGCTTATGTTAACCATGTTGAAATGAGTATATTGAATTATCCCATGCAGACTGAACTTTATGAAGATGTGTTGGGATTAACCGATCAACAGATTCTATCTGTCGTAGATTTTATTATTGAAGAAACATCACATGATCAACAATCAACCAATGAGAGAATAGATATGAGTAAAAGAATGGAGTTGTTAATTGTGAGTTTATGTGGCAACGATAATAAAGTGAAACTAGTTGTGTCACATGTACAAAAAAAAATTACAGCTAATAGGTGAGTGGGTTAATATCACATGCCAGATCCTGCTTCAGTAATATGTCAGTTTATTAAAAAAAAAATGCTATTGTGGGCCTTCAAATGCTTTGTCTTCTTGTAAAATGTGTTAAAAATAACTTAGGCATTACATTGAACATTTTACTGTACAATTCGTGTCAAGTAACTTTATGTACGTATGACTAGTTGTTTTCTATGCATTAGCATTAGACGTTGAGTGATAGGATTGTTGAAATAGCAGCTAAAAATAAAGTTAAGTTTAATCAGATTGAAAACACAACATCAAAGCAAAGAATAAAGGAATTTTCCCTTCTCTTCAGCTAACATTTCTTTGCCCTTATGTATTTAAGCCTCACTCACATTTTGACTGTCAATATATATATATGCTTAAGTTTTTTTTGTTTTTTTTCCATGACCTTTACAGTATGAGAAAGAGAGAATATGAAGTATTGTTACTGGAGTTATATTTACAATTTCCTTATTTATTGAACTGGTTATCTGATCCTAATGTTCTCCTTACACAAATTTACAACTCAGAACAAGGCCAGAGTCAGGTCAGTAAATAATAATGTAGTTTTAACACAAGTATTTCTTGTCTTTTACACAATTCCCTCCACTTGAAATTGACCCAACAAATTTGTGGTGGAATATGATACAGATAACACTGTAACCCAGGTATCGTTTAATCTTGTGTATCTAGCACTAATTTCTTTCACATTCGTAATATCCAATCTTTGTTTAAAAATTTGTAAAAACTGTTTAAAATCACCATAAATCGTTTAATTTGTACTTCTGTCCAGTTTAAAGCTGACCATTCAATTTTGATAATGAATGTCCAATTTACAAGTGTTTAATTTCTCAATCATTATTAAAAAAAAAAAAACCCAATTGGTTAATGATGTATAATGATTAATTTTTGAACAGTGATCAGGAAATTAAATACTTGTAAATTGGACACTCATTATCAAAATTAATCAGTCAGCTTTAAACTGGACACATGTACAAATTAAACGATTTATGGTGATTTTAAACAGTTTTTATGAATTTTTAAACAAAACAACTGTGATAGAAATTAGTGCTAGATACACAAGATTAAACGATACCTGGGTTACAGTGTAACATTCAATACAGTACAGGGGTTTGCTCCCTTCTTCAAGTTGTGAAAATAAAGAAAAAGTTTGTCTAAATGAAAATGTGTTCAATTGTGATTTAAAACTCGAAAATAAGGTAGATCTTATCCAAGCAAATTGGAGCTAACTGAGCAATTTAGGAGGCCTGAATTTCATATTTTTATTATATTTTGTGTTTTACGCTATAGCTTGATGGGATTTCACACAGAATGATAACAGCTTTAGGTCGAGCACGGGCTGGCAAGGCAGCAGAGAGTCGTATGTACGACGCTAACATAGCTTGCCGCAAACTGGCATCAGAACATCCCTTACTGATTCTCAGGTACATTTTTACTTACATTAGTTTTTTCAATATATTAATGCATTAGTAGATTTGGTATACTTAATCTTTCTGGAATACCTGTCACAAGGCTTATCAGTGAAAAGAATGTTGACATTGAGATTAATATTTTACACTTTGTGAACTCTATTGATAAGCTTACAAATGTATTAAATTTCTACTTTTAGTGTTAACCAATGAAAATTTTATTTTAAATCTCCAAAAATTCTATTGGAAATCGGCTTCCATTCTTTGAATACATACATATAATTATATTAGTTCACTGTAAAATCGAAAATCTGTAACTTATTATTTAAACTTGGTTGTTAACAAGTAATATTTTTTTGTTTGACCCAAATATTTTATTATTATTATATTTTCATTATTATTATATGTTAGGCAATTACCTATGATAGCTGCATTACTCCAGGGAAGAACAGAGTTACATTTTACAGAATTTCGTAACAAGAATTATTTGTTGTTATTTTCACACGTCCTTGGAATATTAGATATACTCCAGCCTCAGATATTTACTTGTCAACAGTCAGGATTAGCTGAAATATATGATGCTTATTTTAGTCTTATAGAGGTAAAGATTTATTTGATAATAGATTTTGATTGGACACAATCAATTCTGTCTAATTCAAATTTGACCATGCTTTCGTATTTTTGTCATTTACGAGGGGGTTGTGCGCGTTGTATTATAATGTCTGTCATTGAGTCAACTGGCGTGGTTTCGATTCCCCGGTTGTACATGACAAGGAGTAGGGTCCTCCCACTGCTAAAGAACCCTACGCACAAGTGAATTATTGAACTAAAATTGAACCATATGTTAGTCCCAAAATGACCTAGTTTGTGTCAAGTGGACGTTAAACCCCATTTTTCTCTCTCTCTTTATGTCATTTACAGTGAGGTATTTAATGTGAAATTTGTGCACTATATATGTCATTTATAGTCAGGCCCCAAGTTAACAAAGCATTCTTAGACTTAAGTATAATTTACTCAAATTTCAATCACTGTTTATATTGTATATCTAGAACTAATTTTTTTCACATTTGTTTAACATAAAATCATTTAAAGGGACTATCCCGATTTGAACATAAATAAAAGTCTGAGTATTTATGAAATTTAAGCGCCAAATTATAGCGGAATGGTGTAGTAACCTTGTCTCAAAATTTAAGTTCAAAATATTGAGTCGTTTGCGCGTGAACGTCAAAAGTGCTTATCCGGACACGTAACCCTTTTAAGATTTCGGGTACATTTTTTCGTTGGGTGACCTGTTAATCGAGTCCCGTTTCTTGAGAGGTCTATACAATGAATGACCCATGTGCTGTGATAACGAAAGGTAAATTTCACCTTTTTCTACAAAATAAAAGTCTTTTTTTATCCAGACACCGCATAATACAGCTTGGGGCACCGGTCTCCATTTCCAGATGAAAACTGACGGGTTTAAGTTGTTTGAAACGTATCGCATATGTTGAGTTAGTTGCTCGGTCCTACTGTAGGCGATTTTAAGGGATTTTAACACAAAATTAAGCAGTTTTATTCTCCAAAATATTATCGGGATTGACCCTTTAAAATCACCCAAAATCATCTAATTTGTACATGTGTCCAGTTTAAAGCTGACTGATTAATTTTGATAATGAGTGTCCAATTTACAAGTATTTAATTTCCTGACCACTGTTCAAAAATGAATCATTATACATCAATAATCAATTAGGTTGTTTATTTTTTAACAGTGATTGAGAAATTAAACACTTATAACTTTGACACTCATTATCAAAATTAAATGGTCAGCTTTAAACTGGACACAAGTACAAATTAGATGATTGTTGGTGATTTTAAACAATTTTTTTACGAATTTTTAAACATAGATTGAATGTATGTTAAAAAAATTCATGCTAAATACAGAAAATTAAATGATACCCGGATTACAGTTGCTTATGAGAAATGTCTTTGATCCAGAAACACAAAACTTTGCACATAGTTTCTTATTGATGTATTTGATACATTAGAAACAACAAAAGTTTTATAAAGGGCTATGTTTTAGTTAAAATAAGACAAATAATTTTGAGTAAATTCTTAACTTAAGTATGAGAATGCTTTGTGAACACGGTGCCAGGGCTCCATTTCACAAAAACTTAAGGTAAAATCACTAAAATAGATTTTAACTAAAATCAAAATCAAATTTGAAATTTTAAGCATTTCTCGAAGATCAATTGTAAATTAAAATTGAATTTTGATAGATTTTATATAAAATTGATTGCACCTGAGCAGTTCCATTTTTCGTCAGCTGGCATACAGATTTAAACAAATGTGCTTCTGAACTGAAAACTGTTGACAGGTTGAACTAATGGTTACAATATCAATGTTTTCAGATGATTTGTCATAGAGAAATGAAATTAACGAGTTTATTGCATATTATTTGTTTCATTATGTATCGGTGGGTTGGCCTTGAACTTGCATGCTGTTTTCGTGACCTTGGCATTTGGTTTACTCTCAGGCTTCAATGGAAATAATGCGTATCGATGAACTGAATTTCGTACTATTTTGGTATTTTGGATAACAGAAATTATTGAGAATTGTCAATTACAAACATATAATATGTGTGGGCATGCTTGGGGAATTTATGAAACACACCCAATATTTTTAAAAGATGAATATCTTACTCAATTAAAATAAATTTTTCCCAAGATAAAATACCTTTGGCTTCTAAAACTTCTCTGATTTATGTTATATTATTAACATAAGCCTTCATTAAAAAATAATAATAAATTTAAGATATCACAATTTAATTTCAAATAGACCTATAACATTTTTCAATAAACACATTTGAGATTATTGATTTATCTTTTTACAAATCAATATAACCCCCAAACCATATGAGTAAATACTTTGCATATGGCATGCCTTGTATTATACAGACCTTTAGACCTTCTAATACCAAGAAATTGGCTGTTTTAAACCATTACATATGAAGATATTTTATATATAAGAGTGCTGTTAAGCTATGGGAAATTTGATATGTTAGCATTAAAGGCAAATTATGCATTGCTACTTTAATTTATTGAAATACTGGTATGCCATCACTTTTGCAAGTCATGAAACACAAAATGAGGCTAATTTTCATTATCTGTCAAGTTTGTCATACTACAATTAGCAACATGTTCCTGTCTTAAATTGGTATAAATGAGAATTTTGTTAGATTTCTTTTTGTTTTCCCAATTAAATAATATTTCCTGAGAATAAAAAGACATAAGATATGTTTATTGGCTCGACCTTATTACACTTGATATATCTCTCTATGGTATAAAATATAAAGATTATATAGACAAAATGGACCTCACTAATGATGCAAACAACACTCATTTAATGTACCTAGTTCATGATTATATAAAACTAACAAATAGTTTTGACAACTAGCAAATGGTTAGACTGTAATATTTCTGAATAGCATACCATTGCTTAATTAAAGCTGTTTTTCTTTTGAAATGTATATTTAAAATATGTCAAAATATGCAAAAAAATTGATAGATATTGCACTGCAATATTTATTCAATTCACTCTCCTCATCCTCAAATATTAAAAGTGTTGTGTTACTGTTACTGACCTAGTTTCAGGACAACCTTTTCTGAAACCTTTGTGTGGATGAAGCTGCCATGGTGGTCAGTCATTATTGTAAATTAAACAATTGATGTAGTAGCCAGTTAGAACAGCCTGTAATAATTATTTACATGTTTATTTACATTTTGTTTTATTAATATTATCTGTTTAATTATCTCCACACCAATAAACACTTTAACTTTCTATATCTTTAAATTTCTCATATATAGGCTTTTAGCAACATATATAGTCCTGTCGTTATGGACATTTTGTGAATAAAATATTGTTTAAACCAAAACATTTCAAGGGTCATACGATAGGTCACCGAAAATACTACTATCAAGTTGTTGTAGCAAACCTGAGCTCCCCCCTAGCAGAATCTTTATCAAAGCTACTGCCTGGGTATTTTACCTTATATTTTTTTTAATTTCTGATTTCAGCGACATGGTAGAGATAATCGTCAATTAGGAGGGCTAATTGTTAAATTTGTTTCATTTCTTCAAAACTTTGTCAGCTTTGATTCTCAAAAAGCTGTGAAATTGTTACAGAAATATGTCAATATTCTAAGGTATATGAAATGGTTTCAAATAAATTAATCCTATATTTGCTAAAAAATAAGTCTAAGTAGAGACTTAGATGCTAAAATCCCAAGAGGGATTTAAAAGGGTATTTATAACTTCATGGGAAGTAAATGTATTTTTTTACAGACAAAGACTGTCAAATTTTTTAACTTGATTCATGTTTTATTTACATATAATTATTATGACATATCACTGTAAAGTTTATATCATTAAAGATACATTATGGGAGATAAGATAAAGAGCTGGCAGTTCTCACTATAATAGTTAAAAACTAGATAATGTAAAGGGAATTTGCTGAAAATTTCAGTCAAATTGATCCACTCTGAACTAAGATTTTAGCGATTGAGTTTTCGGCCAAGCCTCGATCATCATTACTAAAGTTGGTATGATAAAAAACGTAGTCTCAATTCTCCATTTAGTGTTCAAATCATGAATGGAAGTCGTACAGCAAATTGGAACCTGATCCAATAAACATCGCAGGCTAGCGATGACATCGAGAGTTGATTATCGTCTGGATAAGTTAATTAATGTCTTAATTAATAATTTAGATAACATTTCAGGCCTAAAGAAAGACCTGCAATAGGCAAATTTAGCTCTTGCATAATGTTTGTTTAACTTACAAACAATAACTCTACAAATGAAAATATATGACAGAAGAAGGTCAAAGTCGTCATTTTATATACATTATACGTAATTTTTATTATTATTAGTGAGTTAAAATTGTTAGTAATCAGTCAACAGTCATTAAATAGGTTTTATATCACTAAGGTGTTAAAACCGTGACTATTAGTTAGGTTTGTGTATTCAACAGTGATGTTTATTAGAGTTAGTCACACTTTAGTTTAAGAGAAATGATCATATGATTTAATGACAAAAAATTTCAATAGTAAAAGGCCTAGGTTCGTAAGTCAATGATATCAGTTTAGCTGTGTATTTAGTCTACACAGACAGAAAAATAATAAAAACTCATTAAAATTTATTCATGTTATAGATCCACTTGTAAAACATTCTGTATGTTATGTCTTCAGTTCTGTGTCGCAAGTTTACCCAAGTATATCAGAATTAAAAGCTTTATTAGCCAGTTTAACTCTACCACCATCTAGTCAAACAGAGGCTGGACCAAAGCAAGAGCGGACAACTCCCATGGTATCAACAAGTCATACAGACACGTTATGGACACCAGCCCAATTGGCACCATTCTTAAAGAAATTCAGAAAGGGTACTCTAGAAGGTAATATTTTTAAATAATTTATTTGACCAGCCATACTTTTTCTGCACTTATTTTGCTAACAGTTTGTATAAAAATTTATTTCTAGGGCCAAACTAATTGAATTTGTAGTTCTGATTATACTCCAAGGACCCCATTAGAAATAAACCTAGTTTTAATTTAAGCAGGTTTTTATGGGTTATCCTCAGTAGGCTGATCATTCATGACAGCATTACTTTTTCTCTTATCAAAACTTTCTTATCTTATATCATGTAACTTTATATTATCACCTCTATTGTCATGTTTGATAAAAAAAAATTGATAAACTTTGGGACTTGATAAATATATAGCCACATGACTTGCGTGAACAATTTATTGTATGGACTTTCAAAAATTAAATATTTGGATCTAAAAACTTTTGAGAAGAGCAACCAAGTAAATTTGGTTTAAATTATTTTTTTCACCCAAGAAATAGGAAGCAAAAATTTGTAATAGATGTTCCATAAGAACAGAAATTAAAATTGGTCTGGCCTAGTTTATGACTATTGTCAACAATTTTACTAAGAAGTTTTTCATCATTTGTGTTTTGCAGAAGTTCTGCAAGTATTACATGATTTAGATGAAACCAGTAAAAGACGTGTAGAAGTTCTCAGCCATTTTGAGGTAAGCTCAAATATTGAGTGTCCTTTTATAGAAGATTGCAGTGGATAATGAAATAGTGAACAGTAGTTCAACTTTATAAACATAGACTAGGAACAAGACAGGATGCATGCACAAATATATTTTGACAGGATTCTAAATAATATTTTTTTTCTGTATATATAAAACTAACAAAATGGAAATTAAAGTGAAAAATATCCAAAGATCATGTAAATACTCTAACTTCGATCCAGTATTATTAAAATGTTCCTACTAGCACTTGTTGATCCCAAACCTAAGACTTGTATAATTTTGACTTTTTCACCCATTTTTGACTATCTGCTTATTAAACCACTAGATTGATTTCTACCAAATTGGGTAGTTATATTGCTGAGGTGGTACTTATTCATTCTTTATGGGAAATAAATATGAATGAAGTTCTTTGTCTGTGAATCTATGCAGCCATGCATGAAATATGTATGTACCAAAGCAGATTTGATACTAATGACACATGAATAAGATTTTATTTTCAGAGCTACTTTTTTTGGGCCCAGAACAGGTCATGACTACACAAATTACACAAACCTCTGTGCTTTGCTACCAGCAACTGCAAACATGTTTTTCTGTGTAATGAATGAATCAATGAATGAATGAATAAATGGGGTTTAACGTTCTACTGTTTTGCTCTGAACTGGGCTAATGAAGACGGGCATACGCCATACAGTGTGCAATGAGGATAATTTTGCTCGGACAGCGGTACTACGGCCTACTCTTATATCGAATTCCAACTGTCAAGGGATCTTTTACGTGCACGGGACGTCAGTTTTTCGTCCCATCTGAACGACTAGACAACTGTACTTGTCAGGCCCTCCGTCCTGCATCACTGACAAGGGGGAACCACGCCAGAAAATATTTATTTTATTAAAACCTTAATTTAAAACAACATCGCCCGACCATAGTTTAGTTTATACCTGTTTAGAGGTGTTGTTTTCTACATGGTCTGTCATAGAGTCAAGTTACCTGGTTTTGATCTCACACTTGTTCATGACAAGGAGTGGGGTTACATGTCTGACCTTGTGTGTTCTCTCTGTGTCCTCCAGTTTCCCCCCACTGTTAAAGAACCACTTTCGGCCAGCAAATTTTTGAAACTGAAATTGTACCATTTTGTCTTTAAATGACACAGTTTGTCTTAAGTTGACGTTAAACCCCATTTCTCTCTGTGTCCTCCAGTTTCCCCCCACTGTTAAAGAACCCCTTTCCACCAGCAAATTTTTGAAACTGAAATTGTACCATTTTGTCTTTAAATGACACAGTTTGTCTTGAGTGGACGTTAAACCCCATTTCTCTCTTGCTGTTGAGATATTCAGATTTTAAAACACAATGTTAATAGGTTGGACTTAGAAATGTTGTATTATTTCAATTTTTATAGTTTAATTCGTGATTTCAGGATAAGTTTTTATGAAAAAACTAATTGGTTCTTGCGCATTCAAAACTTACTTTTTCTACTTTCAATAGATTTCAATCAATATAAACCCTTTAGTCCTTTATGGATTAAAATTTACATTGTTCATACAAGTTTATGTCAACTTTAATAATCTATTCTAGAAGTAGTATGCATTGTTCCTAAAACCAGTTAAAAATTTATCTAGAACATTATATGCATTGTTCCTAACCCTAGTTAAAAATCTATTCTTAGGAGTAATGCTAGTATTGTTGTTGATAAAACTATTTTACGGTATTTTTTTTTAAAGCCCAGTGAGTCAGCTATGACTCAATCAATTATAACATATTTATATTAATGTAAATATATAGGTTTTAGTTAAACCTAAACAAAGGGTATATTGTATTAAAATATATAAACACATTTACTTAAAGATACATTATGGGAGATTAGATAAAGAGCCGGCAGTTCTCACTATAATAGTTAAAAACTAGATAATGTAAAGGGAATTTGCTGAAATTTTCATTCCGATTAATCCACTCTGAACCAAGAATTTATTGATTGAATTTGGGGCATAGCCTCGATCATCATTTCTAAAGTCGGTACAATAAAAATCATAGTCTCGATTATCCATTTTTTGATTTAATCATCAATGAGTGTTGAACAGCAGATCAGGTTCTAATCCAGGAAATATCACAGGCTAGAGATGACATCGAGAGTTCATTATGATCTGGATAAGTTAATTAATGTCTAATTATAAATACTTTAGATAACATTTCAGGCCTAAAGAAAGACCTGCAATTGGCAGATTTAGCTCTTGCATAATGTATTGAAATGTAATAGGATGTAATGTCTTTCTTTTCTGCACCGACTAGGTAAAGGGACAAAATTGCTCTCAATGTAATTAATTTAATGTACTGATTTATAATAATAACCCCAAGGTGAACTTTATATAAAACATCCAACCTGTTTTGAGAATAGGATATCCCAGATATATGTTAATTAGTGACCCAATATTTTGTCAAATTTGCACTTGTCTCAAATCCTTGATGATTCATTAAACATACATTATGCAAGAGCTAAATCTGCCTATTGCAAGTCTTTATATAGGCTTCAGATGTTATAGAAATTATTAATTAGACATTTATTTACACGACAACCTTAAAATTAACTCTGTAGAGCACGGATGGCTTTGATACAGTTTGGATTTAAACAGCCTCGTCCATTTAAAATTAAATCAATAAACTAACTAGGTTCTGAAATTACCGAGTTGTGTCAAGTGGCTATTAAACCCCATTTCTCTCTCTATCTATTCATGGTAAACAACTTTTAGGCTATGTACATTTATTGGTCAAAGCTGTGCGCAAGTTCCTTTATTTATGTATTCTGGTAATAATATCACTTTAAATGCAGACAGGATGTACGGTTTATGGTTGATTTTAATGTTGAATAGATTGGTACACTTGGTCGTGCAAAGCTGGATGTTGTCTGACCAAAAGACACATTTGGCATGTACATCTAGAGCAGTATATAGAGATAGTCTGACCAACTACGGCCATAGTCATCATTTTACTAGCCAATCGTGACAGTCAGTTCTTTTGATGAATAATTCATTTCGGACTGATACCCCCCCCCCCCCCCAAGGTCTCGTATGAATAATTTGTGTTCAAATTAAAATTGGAATGTGTCTAGCCATGTGACCATGTCAGACCCTCCCTCTCTCTCTCTCTCTCTCTCTCTCTCTCTGGCTCTTAGTGTATATATATGTAGTTACTGTTTATAAATGCAAATAAAGATTACCAATGGCCTCAAGCGAACATCTTATTCAATTAAACTTAGAAAAAAAAGTGCAAGTCAGACCTAATAATCTAAGGAATTGATGTGAGAACAAACACTAAAGACTTGTTTTTTTTTCTTGTTACATTTTGGCATGTGTTCCATCTTTGTCAAGATAATGATATTTGAAAAGTTGTTAATCTTAAAATGAGCAAACAATCATCTTGATAATTCAATTGCTATTGAGTCAGTTATTATCTACAGTGTCAATTTAGATATAAAAGTATCATTATAATTCAATTGTTGATTGATTGAATTATTATTTGTAATGTCACAATGTGTTTTTGATGACATTTTAGGTTTGCTATAAGACAAATTGGTTTAAACTTATATAGATGGGTAAATTTAAAGATCCATAACAAAAAATTAGGTTTTCTAGTACGGTAATTAGAAATAACACATTGCCTTATTTTTTATAAAAATTACAAAACAAGAACAATTTTATGAAAATTAATGGACAAATGTCACATCATGTAATATTGGGATTCTGTTCTAATTTCTTTCTCTATTTGTGTAAAGATATTGATGTATTGAGACCATTGTTTAATGATCCAATCTACACAAGAGTGATCTAATGTGGCAGAGTGGATCTGAAATTTCTACTGGGAAAACTTGCAAACGGTGCAGTTAATGTTAAAACATAGTTAATGCAATCAAATAAATGTAATCAAATAAGATTAAAGATTTTAAATAAATAAAACTTTGACGGATTCCTTAACCCAGCAATAGTTGATGTTTCAAGCTGCTGCAGCAACAACAATACAAGAAATGTACGTCATTGCAGCAACCTGGAAAATTTCAAATTAAACTAGCTAAATTGAGGTCCCTTTTACCAAAGGAACATTTCTTATATAATGTTTAATATCTCATGAAGCAACAAAAAGATCTTTAAAAATAAAAACTACATGCTTCTTTTTTTCTCCGTATGTGTGGTCTAATGCGTGTTCTTTAGATCACAAGGTCTGTCATGGTTTTAACTTGTGTCGTTTCATGACAAGACCTATTGGGTTGACTTTTCAACTTTTGGGGTTTTAACTTGGTCCTACAGTTTCCTCTTACTGTTAAAGATCACTGCAAGTAAATTCTAAAAATAAATTGTACTATATGTTTAACCTGACGTGATCTGTCTCTCTATGTATCTCTTGTTATTTTTTATCTTCTGTTTTGTTATTATATTTCAGACAGAATTACAGAAATTGATGTATGATGTGAATGATAGATGTCGTAATACAGCCTTTACACTCATCATGAGACATATTCGTCAAAACCCTAGGTAGATAGACAAAATGAAATACAATTGGGTTTAAGGGAAATATTAATACAGCCTACTCTTATTTCCAATTCCAACTGTCAAGAGTTCTCTGACATCCACGTCATTGTACGTGTACACCGAACTGCAGTATTTCGCCCATACAAAAGATTGCACTCTGTCCTTGCCAGACTCTTCATCCTTTAACCCACTGATAAGGGGAACTATGTTGGAAAATCCCAAAGACATTTCTCGACCAACACTGTGATCGGACCCCGAACCTCCTGGTTAGTGCTTCACTCAACACGCAATAGTTATACACATTTATCTTTTCTTCGTCCTTGATCTATTCTGTTGTATAACCACACGCGCAGACATTAATAATGTTCTGTAGCGTTTTATAAAGTTATGCAATTGTTATAAAACAGTGATGATTCAGACTAATAATTCATTACAACGTTTATTACAACATTTGTGATTAAATGGATAACTTATATAACACACCTAGAAATCTAGTAATACGATGATCATAAATCAATACTTTATAACGTTGGCTGAGAGTTGGGTCAAGGGCAAGGCCAACATTCTGTAATCTTCAAGTCTGGTTTCCACATGCCTGGAAGATGAAAAAAAAAAATTTCTTTTGATTTAGCAAATGTATAAGATTGTATGACTGAAGAAACTGTCAAAATTATTTCTCTACCTTCTTTCCATAAGCAAACATTGAAATGTATAGTATTCTCAAAATAAGATGTTGACCAGACACAATTACATTCTTATTACTGAACAAAAGATCAGGGGAGAAGACTGGGCCTCAGGCCATCCTACAGGGTCAGAGGGTACTATTGGCAAAAATATGGACATATATTTCTTGGAAATATATAAAATTCATTTTCGCATTCACAGAAAATTATAATGGCCTAAATCTGATAATAAAAAAAAAGAAGTGTGAGTGGGGTGCAGAAAGGTGAATCAAGCTAGTTTCGTTTTCTCATTCTACAAAACATCTTCACCGTGATGGACCCCAGAAATACCCAGATTAATCACATTTCTATTATGTTATACAGGAGATGCAGTGAGTTTGTGCCAATATTTTTACAATGTATTGAAAGTCGTAACCCAGATGTTATCCAATCAGCTTTAAGTAATCTCGCTGAATTTACTGTTCTTGCACAAGGTAAGACTTTGTCAAATCTCCTCATCTACCTCCAGTTCATTCACTAATAACTGTGGATGCATTGAGCAGTTTGTTGGAACAGCTTTTTATCTAAATCTTACATATAATGGTTCCTGTTCTTTAATGAATATATATTATGCCCAAAACAATCAACAGTCAGTACATTAACATCCATTGAAATAAATAGAAAAATGTTGGGGTTTTTTTTTTATCAAAAACTGTATACTAGATAATCTTAAAAAAAATGGAAAAATATCATCTTTTGTTTAATAATCAACAAAATTTTAACATAACATTAGTTCAAGTCTATGTGCTACATAAATAACTTGGATATTTTTCTTAGTCAATAGAAATATCATACTTTCTAATACTGATATGTGTTTTGTGGAAATATATGACCAAAGAAATATATGACCGAATTATTGCTCAAAGTAGCTTATCTTTAATACAAATAGTTTTCAATTGTAAAATGTTTCATAACTTGTCTATACCTGTGTGACACAGTTATGTTCAGTAAATAAGGAAAGTGAGAATCAAGTCAAGGATACAGACACATACAGTGCATCTGATAGTGATACAACACGTTTCCAAGATTTCCGTGAAGTCTTATCAAATCAAATGTCAATATAGATATAATATAGAAGAATCTATAAAACAGCCACAAGAGACTAACATGAAGAAGTGAAAGTGTATGTCTGTTTTCTGGTTCAAATAGTTAAGTTTTTTTAATCAAAAACAAAAATAAAGTTACTAAATAGATCGACTTCGGTTCCTAAAACGAAAGTGGAGTAGGGTGGCTGAATGGTGTATTGCATGCACTTTAGATCATAAGGTCTGTCATTGAGTCAAGTGACATGGTTTGGGTCGTCTGTCCAACCTTTTGGGTTTTCTCTGTGTCCTACGGTTTCCTCCCATTGCTAAACACCCCTATGCGCAAGTGAATTATTGAACTAAAATTGAACCATGTTAATCCCAAAATGACCAGGTCTGTGTTGGGTGGATGTTAAACCCAATTTCTCTCTCTCTGAAAACGAAAATTTAATTCCATGGAGCTTCAAACATTTTTTAAGTTATTTAAACATATGTTAAATAGTTTGTCTTGGGTGCAGTCCAAATATTTTTGAGTTAGTACACTTGTCTGGTGTAAAAGTGTTAAAAAAACAGGGCGGCGGGGGGGGAGATACAGAAGGAGAGAAATATTGTCGATGAGCCAATCAATTCTGGTTTCCTTCATTTATTAACCTAATTGATTTAAAGCTTTCAGAACATTTATTGGATTAATTAAGCTAGTAATTAATTAGCCATTGCCCAAGGTCGTAAGAGTTCAATATTTGAACCAGAAAGCAGATATACCCGAAAGGAACTTGACGAGATATATTTTGGAAAAATCGGCTTGATTCTGTCTTTATTTGCATTTATGGCTGATGAGTATTTGAAGAAATAAAATTCATTATTTTTAGAATTACCCAAGTTTGAAAACTGACTATAGTTTATAATATAGCAATGACTATAGTTTATAATAATGATATAGTTTATAACAATGACTATAGTTTATAATAATGATATAGTTTATAGCAATGACTATAGTTTATAATAATGATATAGTTTATAACAAAGACTATAGTTTATAATAATGATATAGTTTATAGCAATGACTATAGTTTATAATAATGATATAGTTTATAACAATGACTATAGTTTATAATAATGATATAGTTTATAGCAATGACTATAGTTTATAGCAATGATATAGTTTATAGCAATGACTACCCAAGTTTGAAAACTGACTATAGTTTATAATATAGCAATGACTATAGTTTATAATAATGATATAGTTTATAACAATGACTATAGTTTATAATAATGATATAGTTTATAGCAATGACTATAGTTTATAATAATGATATAGTTTATAGCAATGACTATAGTTTATAATAATGATATAGTTTATAACAATGACTATAGTTTATAACACTGCAAGGTTTCAACAAGACTTGATTTAATTTTTTTTTTATGATTCAATAACTTTACAGAATTAATATGATGTATACGGTACAATAACAAGCTTTAACACAAGTCATTATTGTTACCATGTTATAGCACTGAAAAACTGTATGTATGTGGTTTTTTCTGTCCCAGCTGTACTCGAAATTGCAGTTTTCCAACATTTCATCTTCTCTGTTACAAGCAAAATCAATGTTTAAAAACTATGACTATCAATAATTGTGTAAAGCAATAGTGGGCAAACTAAAACTATGAATATTGCTAATTCTGTAAAACAAAAGGGGCCAAATTAAAACTATGACTCTCGGTAACTGTGTGCTTAAATAAAATAAATATAACTTTTGCCTGCTGTATGACTATATTCAGTAAATCTATATATTTCAAAGAATTATTTAGCATTTTGATTTTGATCAGATTGGAAACGTAAAAAACATGTGATTAACAAAATCTGGCAATAGAATAGATAAATTCCCCATTTTATTCAAAGATTTTACCAGAGTTATTTATTTAAATAATTGTGTTTGTGTTAATAGAATGTGTGCAAAAAGTTAAAATCCTGTTATGAATGTCATTCCAGAATGATTTTTTTTTTTTTTTTGTAAAGAAGAGTGCAGATCAGAAAGATCCTGTTATTGATGTATTTTGTCATATTTTCTCAATGACAAATTTGTATTTCACTTCCTGTACAAAACAGTGATTTCCTGATAGAAGTCCTACTAACCTAACCTTGAATTTGTTTTTTTTTTTCTTTCAGAGCATGCTCAGACCATCTTACAGAAGACTTTTTTAGTGGGAATCCGTTCAAATGTGGAAACTAGTTCCTACATCAGTGAGACCATACAATTACTCAATCTCGAAACGGCGCAATCATAGTGACAATTTAAAGTAAAAATCATCAAATCAAATAATATTTTGCTTCAAGATGGAAAAACAGCATGCAGAAAAAATCATCAAGAGAGTAATATTTAAACAGCCAGGAGTGGAATCCTTGAAGAAGATGCACCAAAATATTTTGGATCAATTTGAAGATGGATAAATAATGTGCCAACCACCATATAATATGTTATAAGATATTATTGGAACAGATACTGTGTTATTAATAGATGGACAAGTGTGTCATTATAAATAATTAAAGGTTACTAAATACAATCTAAAAATTCTGTAACTAATTTCAGAAAAATTTAGGATGGACAGATTTCAAGACTTCATTTTTAGGAGGTGCTTTATTGTATTTGGTTCCAAATGGACCACAACTGATCATGTCTAAATGTGTTTTTGTTATCACCAAAAAGCTATAAAAGTGGTTCTCAGAAAAGATGGTGTGAAGTCACACTGCAGAACATCTGGGCACCTCAAAGGTGCAATTGATTCAAAAGATTCCCTAAAGTAGCTGTGTTATGGTCTAAGCTTATATACAGTGATCTCAAAGGAGCAAAATGAGGTCATGGTCACATTTTCTGAAATTCGCTATAAAAAATAAAATAGTGATGAGTAGTGACATTGCATGCACTATTTAGAACTAACTGGGGCAACCTGATGGGTAAGGTTATGAGGAAACTGCTGATAAATTTTAATAAAGTAAGTATCCTCTGAAAACCAAACATGGCGATTGTTTATAACTCTATGCTATGATAATGTTATACATACATGTTTATGTCTACATTTAATTGAAAATTAAAAAAGGTGAAAATTTGTTGTTGCTTTGAAAGTAAGTCATTCTCTCAATGTTTTGTTAAATGTTGTATGCTGGTAGGAAGTCTCTATGAGACAAATCTCAATGGTAGATTCCTGGAACACCACCATACCTTTGGCATGAGGTACCTCAAAGGTTTTCTCCAGCTCCTTCCATTTCCACCCACTACAAAAGACTCCTTCACTCAAGCGAAGTATTGAAATAAAATAAACCATGCGTTAGTCCCGAAATGACCTAATTTGTGTCAATGGATGTTAATCTCTCTCTCTCTCTCTCTGTATAGACACGTATACATAAAAACATTTGGATTGATCAAAAATTCACTTTGAAAGTCTTCCGCTCAGTGACATATAGACTTTTTCACTATTTAATAATGAGCCTACATCATTCAGAATTAGAGAAGCACCCTTTTGAACAAGCATACTAACATAAGCATGATCCTTTTAAATGTTGGAAGTTTGATTGAAATTGTGCTTAAACAGTCAGTTTATCAGTTTCACTATTGCCCGTCCAGTCCTATCTCACAATTCAAAACTTACAATAGAAAATAGAATTCAATGGGGTTTATTGAAGTCCCGTCAATTTATTTTGAGATTGATGTACAGAAAGTATATTTCAGTGGTGCAATGCATGAAGTGGGGAGAACTATGCTCCGACTGCTGCATTTCCACCTACAAAGAGATCTGTTATGTGCACTATTAATCGTGTTTTTATGCAATTTGAATGACAAGACACACTGGGAGAGAAAGACAGCATGTCGTCAATCTTGGATTATCCATTAAGCAAAATAAATACAGACTGGATGCACCACCGAATCTTCCACTGCTGGTGTATATTGCAGAAAGTGGCGCAGGAACCTGGTCGGCTGGGTTGCCGTTCGCCGACCAGTATTTGCAGAGGGTTGGCCAACCCAAATTTTTCGAGTGAAGTTTTAACGTATGTACTCATCTCATTCACCACTGTTCAATTGACACTTTTAAAATTCACCACCTCACAACTGAAAGTTTGCAAACGGTGGGAATATTCCCGCAGACATACTAGAAAATGAATTTAGGATACAGCAATTTCAAAAAAATTCCCAACGTCATATTGTGTCGAAAGTCAAAGAACTTAAATATTAATTTAAAATGTTTCAGTGACTTGTGTCTGAAAAATGAAAGTGCTTGACTCGATACAACTGACAGAAACAGGGAAAATATATGACATCTTTAAACTACTAAATCATAATTTGGGGGTGGAGTTCAATAGCTCCAACGTGGCATTATCTGGAGGTTGCTATTTTGATTGGATAAAGGAACTAATTTAGATACGACACGGGGGAGATGATATCTCTGTCATTCGTGATCCGATAATCTTAGAAATATAGGATTCTTTGTAATGCTCCAATATAATGTTGTTGTTTTTTAAAAAATTGCATCATCTTGTTTGCAAGTCATTTATTGGCCATTTATATGTCAAATTACGAATGGGTAACACGCGTTCGTATAATTCCAGTCAACTATCGCGTAAAAAATAAATACGAGATTAACCAGAACACAAATAGTCATATACAAAAAGTGTATGAGTGACAAATGCGACTAAATGTATCAGTATCTTTGTTTAAATAAAGAGACAGTACAAAACAGACGCTTACAGCCAGCTTTCAGATTCGACAGTATAAGACTAGAGGTTAAGACACAAATCTGATGAATCTATCCAGCAGTAGATTTATTGTAATGATTTCAAAGGGATTAAATAACTTAACTGCGAGATTTGAGAGAGAGAGAGAAATGGGGTTTAACGTCCACTCGACGCAAACTAGGTCATTTCGGGACTAACATGGTGTAATTTTATTTCAATAATTCGCTTGCGCGTAGGGGTCTTTAGCAGTGGGAAGAAACCGGAGGACCCAGAGAAAACTCACGAGGTTGGTTCGCGACCCCACTCCTTGTCAAGTACACCCGGGGATTCGAAACCTCGCCAGTTGACTCAATGGCAGGCCTTATGACACATTTGGCCATCCAACCCCCCGATTTGCGATTGAAACATTCTGAATTATTATAGAGTTCTTGCTTATTACTTAATGAATAATTCCACCCACCAAGCTTTAACAAATACCACTGAGAATTTACCAATTCCGTCTTGTTTCGACCGCTCCCGCCCTGCCATGTATTCATTCAATGTAATTCCATTCAATTCAATTTTATTAAATATGAATGATATCCAATACCGTATATAAAATTGCTAAAGCGCTACAACAGATAATAATATATGAACCCATCCTACTCGATCAACCTATATTTCAAACTGTCAGTAAGATGGAACAAAATTCTGGAATCCTCATACAAAATATAGTAGCAAAGTATGTAGACTTATCGGGATATTTTGCCATTGTTACGGTACTGGAATTCGAAATAACCTCGTGACCGGTCATAGCATATAAGATTGATTATCATATAAAAATCGTCAAAAAAACAAGACATACCGATAATGTTAGATTCCCACTATCGCGATTCGCTCTACGATTGAAATAGTGGTTTTAATCGTGGAGTAATCGCGGTGATCCTATCAGGTCTTATCATATTTTAAGCCGAATAAAATGTCGCGCCAAAAGCAGATTTACAACTCGGGACACTCCACACTGGCGCTAGACACAGTGATTATTACACTGATTTTAAATATATTTCCATTAATAAATTTTGAAAAGATCATTCCCGGAAAATTGATGACACAAATAATTATCAATGACTTTATTTTGCTGATTTCCCTAAAAGGTTTTTATTTCCCCCAAAATATATATGTTTGGTTTCATTTTACCCGTCTACCCGAAAAGTTGATAAAACAAATAATGATCGATGCCTGAAAACAGTGGCACATGGGATTTTGTGCATTTTATTTTGCACCATGGGTATTTTTTTCCCCTGGTCCTCCGCCCCCCCCCCCCCCCTGGTTAAGACCCCGCGCAAACAAATTAAAATTGAACCATGTCAGTCCCGAAATAACCGAGTCTGTGCCTAGTGGACGTCAATAAGAAACCCTTAAAGGGAGGGAAATATACAATTATACTAAAACAACAGTTGATTCTAATAAACCCTTAATCTTCATTACGAATACGGAATAAGAACAAAAAGTAAATAAGAAAATGTAAATAAGAAATCATAATTATTGATATATCATTAATCTCATTAATCTACAACTCCTATATGAGGATTAAAACAGTTAGCATGTAACAACCCATATTATAATAATTATTATTAAAGGATTTGAAACAATTTTAACATATATACTAGTAACGACATAGTACAACTGTACTGATTATTGATTAATAATAGTTTCATAGGTATTAGGTTTAACTTTGAATGGTTTCCGGATGAGACGAAACACCGAGGTCCCGTGTATACATTGGAATGCACGTAAAAGATCCCTTCGCAGTTGGAATTCGATATGTAGGCCATAGTGCCGCTGCCCGGGCAAAATTCCCTCATAGCACACTGTATGGCGTATGCCCGTCTTCATTAGCCCAGTATAGGAGCAGAACAGTAGGACGTTAAACCCCATTTCATTTCATTTCATTTTGAATGGTTTCAGTGCAAATGAACTCATTTGACCTTTGACCCCGAATATCTCGAAAACGCCCCAACTGCGGACTGATTACTACTCGGCATCATTTATTCTACGCAAAATTTTACTCTAGAAAAGTTTGGTCTGGTTTTGTGCCCATTTGATGGACACCGCCCCGCGCTGAGCCTCCAGACTATAAAGTTGTCAGTTTATTATATATCCCGTTCACTAAATTCCTTTCAATTGAAAAAACTCAAGCAATTTAGCGATAGTTATAATTATATTGTTATTTCTTTCACGTTTTGATGCAGTTAGCATTGATTTTGTTTTTCTGGGATTTATTGCCTCATTGATTTTACACGTTTTAGCTAACCAAGTGAAGATCATTTTGAAGATTGTTGCGGAAATAGACATATTATCTCTGAACAATTCAGGACTCTGTCATAAGAAAACAGATCTATCTGGCTTGATTTGATATTGAGCGGAAAATCTTTTATGAACACAAAGAGAAAGAGAAGACCTAGAATCGACACCTGTGGAACTCAGCGTTGCACCGTGATACTAGAAGGGCTAATTGATCCTAAACAGACTTTTCAATAAAATATTTAGATTTTTTTTATCTAATCAATTCACCATTATCAAACCAATTATCTGTGATTCGATCTAACATCACATCCAGTGGCTTTTCAATTATATAAATTCAATAATATTGTTTAAATTTTGGTAGTAGTACAGTCAAAGGAAATTTGTCATTAGGGTGCACCTAATCATTTACGTAATCATATATTATATAAGCCAAAGAAAGGGGTTTATACGGTTTGTTCTCGGAATGCCGGCTCTTATATAATGCATCTGTAATGTCGTCACTTACGTTAGTGAAGTAATCATTCATCACATTACGATGTCGTTTACATCATTAGTTGTTGATTTATTACCTGTATTGGAAAAAAGCAATTGTTGGTTTTAGACTGTATATCACGAATATATTTCCGGGTGATTTTAGATTGCTGTCCAGTTTCAATAAAGTCCTTAATGAAAGTTCGTTTGGAATTAGTAATGAGGTTTTCGGATTTATTCCTCCCCTTAAATGATCGTCTCACCTCTTACAGGTTTTAAAATAGCCTGATAGTTTTAGAGCATTTTTTTATTTCTTCGTTAACCCAAGGCCGAAGTAAGCTCGCATGAGGCCCCTGGCTTAAATAGTGGAAAGGGGCCATATGTAATTCTGTCCACACTCACAAAACTACGTGATTTGTCACAGAGATAAATAAAATAATAACTAAAATCATGAAATTATAAATTATATGCTTCACTTAAACGTGCAGAGATAGCACAGAAATTTGTAAATTTCCACTGTGGTCCCTCAATATAATGTTAACCAAGATAGGTTAAACTCTACTGTAAAAAATTGACATTTATTTATGGTACAGAATTGGTTTTGGAACTAATTTCAATATTGA